ACAGTCATCCGGACAGGTCGAACGGATGAACCGCACGGTCGTCTCTATGCTCAAAAAGTACGTCTGCTCCACTGGGAAGGACTGGGACGTCAAGCTCCCTCTGGTCCTGATGGCCATACGGTCCACTCCACAGCGATCCACTGGGGTTACGCCCTTTGAGATGATGACCGGCAGACTGATGACTCTACCACTGCACCTCCTGTATCACCCAGAGGATGTCAGTGTTGCCACTGCCTATACCGCTCATCAGTATGTGGCAGACTTGAAAACACACCTCAGAGCTACGTTCGCGCACGCTCAGAAGAAACTGGAGACCAACGTAGAAGGCGCTAAAGCCTACTACGACCAAAAGACAACCAGCCGCGAATACGAGGTGGGTGACAAAGTATTCTACTTTCGGTTCGCCCAACCGGCACGCAAAGCTAAGAAGTTCCTGCCCTGCTGGTCAGGACCATTTGAGATCGTGGCAAAACTCTCTCCAGTTGCATACAGGTTACGCATCACCAAAGCGAGACAGGAGCTTGTCTACAAATGGGTGCATGCAAACCAAATCAAACCCTACGTCAAACCATCCCCGCGGGTACAGAGACCAGACTCCCCGCAGGAGGTAGACGTAGTCTCGACATAGTTCTATGCATGGAAATGGAAAGGGGGGGAAAGTGCACGTTTAACCCACTAACATGTACTAACCGACAAAGAACCAAGCCCCCCCCCCCCGCCGTCATTTTCACTAACCAAGAGAAACTCCTCCTAGAACGCTAACAGGAAGTACTTACTAAAACCTTACAGGGCACTCTTGTAACTGTCAACCTACATTCTGCTCTGATTAATGAATCTCTACGTGCAATCAAGACTTTGTCTGAAACCATACATCAGGATATTGTGTACACATGAGTGGTGAGAGATTTGATGTAGGACCTGCTCAGGGAAGTAAGTTCCACGCTGGACAGCTTGGTTGAAAGTCGTATTTCCCCGTACTTGGTACCACTGGACCTGCTCAAAGTTAGCTTGACAGCTGCTACCCCTCTACTGTGCACCTTTCACAAATCCACCTAGCGTACAGCCTAGGTAGTGCAATTCCCATTCACGTTGATGCAGAACATTAGAACTCGGTTTCCTGTTAAACGTTCCCATAATTGTGACACCTCACATCTATAGGTTTAGGTCGATGCTGAGCATTGGTATTTGAAAGGACGGTAGGCATTTCCACTTTGAACTAGAAACCTGACACTCCATCACCTCAACCTCGAACAGCATGACTCAGAGTTTGAGATCATGGACGCTTTCCTGGGTTATAACTTTGCCTTCGATTTAGAAATTGACCAACAATTACTGATTGAAGGAACCAACTTTGTTAAGTTCACACAAAACCCGCGTGAACTTACTTTGACGCCCAAGACGCTACATTGACACAGATTATACGACTTTAATCTGCACATTGGTCGCCCTGGGGATGGAATGGCTCATCACGGCCGTGATTGCTTATTCCGCCTACAGGCGTGTTAAGAAACTCCAAGATAAGATGCACTTGCTCACCTACGGTGTGCCTCGTAACCGCGTTCGGGGAGACTCCAAGCGTGAATGTACCACACCTGTCTAAAGGGGGTGAGCAACATTTTCTTTGTTATTCTGTAAACCTAAGAGTAGTTCTCATTTTAGTCTACCTCACATTTTTATCTGAGTGTTGCATTATGTCACATTCTTTATAAGCTACACACTGAATGTATTACCTAAGAATGTATTTTATGAGACCTCAAGGTTGCTATGAATTTTCTTGGATGTTATATGTTATATGTTTGTTTTTTTGGGTTTTCTGTATTTTTTTTGTTTCTTACTTGGTCACATATTAACTAGTGGTTATGTGCCGGCCCAGCTCAGTCTGTCAATGACTCTGTCTGACGCACCAGCACATTGTAGTACCTCTTAGTTTTATGGTCCTTGTTTTAGCCCAAAGACTGTCCTGATCCACCCTTTGGACCAAAAAGGGGGGAATCTTGGGACCACATAGGTCAATGCGCGTTTGCGAACTATGGACCTCGTACATCACCGCGTGCTCCATAAACTGAACTGTATGGCCGGCGGTGAGATGCCTTTGTGTCCCCTCGTGGAGTTAACCGCCCACCGACCTTCCTCCTTCTACACTACTACCTCTCGCATGGACGACATCATCATTGCGTACCACCTGCGTGAGTGGCTTCTTCTCGTTATGCGCGTTGGGGACTATCCCATTTCCTATCCTCTTTTGTTTTGTGCCTGACCAGGATCCAAGACAAAGACCAAAGGCGCCAGGATCCAAGACAAAGACCAAAGGCGCCAGGATCCAAGACAAAGACCAAAGACAAAGGCGTCCAAGGAGACCAACGTCCTAAGGGACAAACCCACCTGTGCTTCCGACAATCAAGTCGACTTACGTTCATGAGGAACAAACCCATCTGTGCTTCCGACGATCGAGCTTTGGGCGCGATCCCCGAAACCAAAAGGGGGAATGTTGAGGGTCTGACCTCATGAGGAAATTACTATGCAGTGATTTTCTCCAAAATGACTGTGCTTAAATTGCTCTGAAAAGCAAATAATCACATCAGCGCCAAGAAACTTCATTTCCCATGATGCTTTGCACACGGAAGCATTGGGATGATGTCACCGCCTAATACCAGAAACACGTTCTGCGCATGTGCGGGAGGCGGGAGCTTGAAGCTTTCCCGCGACTTCAAAGACTATAAATCATGAATGAGACAAAGAAACCTCGTTCTTTTGCCCAGGATACCTGGCGGTGAGGACACGCTTGTCGAACGCTCCGACTTCTTTGAGCACGCGGAAGCTCTAAGTGCCAAGTTGAGCCACGGAACTGCTGGAAACTAAACTGCAAGCCTATCAGATCTGCTCGTTTCTGCTCCCCTCCAGCTGATGTTTGAGGACACAGAACTGCGGAGGGAAACAACAACTCCATCCAGCTCTCAGAAACGCTGTAAGTTATAACTCAGCACAGAAAGAAACTTTGCTGTCTCTGTCCAGCCCGTGGAGAAACACTCGTGAACGCCAAACAACGGAGAAAGCATCAAACCGACGGATGACGCCGGAAACCGCGGAGAAAAACGGAGAACCGTCAAGTCATAACAGCGGGGGACGCCTTGCTGCTTTGGTGATCAGGAAACTCATTTTTTTCTCTCCTTTTCTTCTCCCGTTTCCTCTATAGTCTCAAATAAGCAATAAACCGCGTCTATTGCTTAAAAAGTAGCTTCGTGTTTTCCTCTTTCGTCCCAAACACGTCCGTCGGGTCATTTTGAAAGAATAAACTGCTTATTGATCATTGTTTGGTATCTTAAAATGGTTTCTGTCATGGCCAGGCTGAAACTAAAAGATATTAATTTGTGATTAATCTTTTGTGTTGTTTCATGATCTTTTGAAATGTTTTGAGTGATTTAAGGTTAAGTTACTACTGATTCTAAGTGCTTTGGAAGTTAAAGTGCAAGTTGCCACCCACACTTTAGCCAGACAAAGGGGTCAGCCATCTTGTATTCAAGACTCCATTTTGAATCTATACACACGCACACACACACACACACACACACACACACATACACACTACTCCTTTGTGAGAACAAAGGACCCCATTCATACATCCTCCATCACATGCAAACACATCCATCTTCAATCATATCACACGGTTATCATTCATCTATTCCACTGTTTATTCATTTGACAAATTGTTAATTAAATGTTATAAAATTCAGATTTTTGTGTCCAGTAGCTTTGTTGTGTCGAAGAGAAGTCTCTGCTCCAAGGATTCTACGAACTTCAAGAAAGACTGATAAGAGTTTTGGATTCAATTTTTCCCCGGAAAAAGGGGAATGGTGCCCCGTATATCTAAGAATATCTTAATTAATTAATAAATCAGTAAATATTCCCATATTTACAGAATTTATTGAAGAATCCAAAAGTAAGTTGAAGCTTACTAATTGTTCGCTCCTAATAACCCCAACACTTAAGAACACTGGTTTTCCCTTCCAGAGCCGGAACAAGGCATATGCAAACTAAGTGACTGCTTTGGGCCCCCATATCACCAGGGGGCCCCCCAGGAGCACCAAGGTGACATGAGTAAAAAACAATGTCTCTGTAGTATTTTCTGTAGTGTCATTTGGTTTTAGTTTGTAATGCAGCACACTTTGCACATGTTTCAAATTTTAATTCATTCTCTTTAGTCGTCATTTGCATTTTCTAACTGTGTGGGTGTTGGAACGAGCCCCCGCACTGTGAGAACAAACATCCCAGCTCTAAAGCCGATCTTCATCTGTGTACGTCATACATCGCGTGATCAGGAAGCAGAAAATCCATGTGTTAGATCATTTTTGGCCGCTGCCGTTGCTGTAAAAAAAGTGAGGCGCCAACCTTAAAACTTCTGCCGATCGCAATTCGACAACGGATTATGAAAGAATGGATAACGCTCGAAACGCACGGGTTCTTCCTGATGTAAGAGGTGAGTCTACTCTTTGTTTTGTTAGTTTAGGCGTTGACATCATCCTAGCGCGCAACGTTCTGTGACCCTTAAAAAACAGTGAAAACGCTGAAATACACTGGCAGCAAAGGGCTTTACTGATCAGGAAACGGCTGGCAGTGAATGAGTTAAAAAAAGATGATAAACCGAACTTTTTTACTGTAAATTCAGTGTTTGTCTGCTGATTTCTTTCAAATAGCTGAATTAATACACCACACTTAAATAACAGTCTTCATTTTAAAATGCAAATTAATTTGAGCATGGTTTGCTGCTCTGATAAAGTTAAAATGAATATCCACAATAACACCAGATGGATGTAAGCTAATTACAAAAGATGCTAATGATAGTGGGCCTATTACACAAATGGTGCAGCTCAGTTATTATGAATCATCTGGTGTTGACTTTTTGATTTGGGGGGGCCCCAAGGGAAACCTGTTTAGGGCCCCACAATGGCTTGGGCCGGCCCTGTTCCCTGGGGTGGTAGCAGTTTTCTAGGAGTACCATGGCCACCCTTTGGAGGCACCACTTGTTGCCAGTGTGGTTTATAGTTTGCAAAATTCCCTTTAGAGTTAGTAAAATAACTCATTTAGACTTGTTACACGCGTTTTCTGTAGAGACAATGCTCCTACGTACTGACTGTAGGAGCTTATCTGGTCTTTCCTCAGCCCAGTCTCCTGGCTGCTCTTGGCTCTGAACAGGAAGGAGGTTGACGCATTTTCCGCAGGCGCAAACCGGGGAAAGTTGTTTCCTGAAGTTCACACCGTGTTCGTGTTGATACATTTCATACCAAACCTTTGCGCCAGCGTGACTCTGGTGGACTTGTAGGAGTTTTTCCAGGCTTCTTCTTCGTGTGTTTGTTTGTGCTGGCCGCTGCCCTGCCTCTGATGGATGAAGCCGTCTGACAGGAGGATGAGCTCCAAGGAGGAAGACTCAGGTACCAACAACCAACAGGTTAAACTTTAACCTCTCTACTATTGGCGGGGAAACGGTGTTGGTCGCGTTACAACTAGAACCGTGTTTATTGGTAAAGTTAAACTTTAAACCTGTTGGTGGTGAAGGGCCTGTTAGCATTGTTTACCATGGAAATGAACGGACGCAGCTAGCTGCATGCTAACACCTTTAGCATTTATGTCACAAACGTTCAAATTCAAACTTTAATCTAAAATAAAGTTACCATATAGTAAATATTTCACTCAAATTACACGAGTGTGTTCATACAGGACGTGTTTCTTTGTTATATGCTGCACAGCGTAGGAAAGTGTTGTAGTGAAAATGAAATAAAAACTTCTCTTGCACACGTTTCACTGCTGGCTCTCACCAGTATCAGCTGATGGAGGGCTCTAGTTTTGTTGCGCCGTTCGTGTCAGCGGACACGGTAGGGTCGGGGACAGGGGCAGGGCATGACGCTTAGCAAAGCGCTGGGGGAAACCCTGCTGCCAACTTGAATTTTGCCAACTGCTTTTGAATTGCACCGAAACAAAAGAAGATACACAAATGTTTGCATGTAAGTTCTTCTAAAAATTAGATGCACGGCTTTTGAATATCGAGATAATATCGCTGGAAAAGAATATCATGATATATTGCCATATCGATATTTTCTTACATCCCTAATAGCTGTAGAATTCTGATTACTTGGGTCAGAATAGGAATCACTTATTTGATTTGATTATTCTTTGACTTGGTACATTTACTACTTCTTTTAATTTGAAATCACAACTGGAAAGCTGTGACGTGGCTCATCTGAATAACAGCTTGAATGATGCCCGGGCACTAGACTGTTTATTATGACCTTAGCTCACTTTACTGAAGTTGTCCATCTTTATAGGCTATAAGTGTACGATTTAAAACAGGAGGTGGGTAGACTCGCCTTTTGTGTTTAAGCTCCTCTGTACTGGAATAAATTACCCACTGAATTAAGATCCATCTCAACAATTCGTCAATTTTCCCGCACTGTTTATGCTTATGTAAAGCCAAGCTGTAGTTGCTTTGTTTAATCTTTATTATAATGATTTTGTGCATTCACTGGCTAACATGCTGTATTTCGTTGCCAAACTTTGTATTCAATTGGGATATTACTTCACTTTAGGTTTATTTACAATGTCATTTCTTGCCCTTAATTCACTTTTGAGTGCCTCACAGCAGTTTTATTTAATTGTATTTAATTTAATTTTGTATATAGGTATGTATGTACTTATGTACACGTGTGGGTATCTATGTATCCATGCTTATGTGTTTATATTTACGTGTGTATATATATATTTATACATATCGTTAATTTTACTATTATTATTTATTTACTTTCCTTCTTTTTTTTTTTAAAGTCTGTTATAACTTTCTAACTCTGCCACCTTATTTGTTATTGGTTGTGTTGTAGGAGGACCTGCTCGAAAACGAGATGTTACATCTCAAGCAGTTTATCCTCCTGAAAAACAGAAGTTAAATAAATAAATAATAAATAAATAATAAAACATGGGAAACATATACTTTCACCTCCACAAAGGCACAAAGTGTTTTAGCTGATGATTTCTCCATTCATCCATTTTCTCCTGCTTATTCGGGGTCAGGTTGCGAGGGAAGCTCCCTAGCAGAGAGACTCAGACTTCCCTCTCCCCAGCCACTTGGGCCAGTTCCTCCGGGGAAATCCTAAGGCTTTCCCTAACCAGCCAAGAGATATGGTCCCTTCATTGTGTCCTGGGTCTTCCTTTGGGTCTCCCCCCTATTGGACGTGCCCAGAGAACCTCACCAGGGAGTCATCCTGGAGGCTTCCTAACCAAATGCTCGAGCCACCTCAACTGGCTCCTCTCAATCTGGAGGAGCAGTGGATCTACCTTCGGCTGCTTGTATCCACAATCTCATTCTTCATAATGGTCTGATGATTTTTGGTTATTGAAAGCCCAAATAATTCAGGATTCACATTTAAACAAGGCTCCAGTCACCAGTTTATGTCGGTGGATCAGAACCATTTTGACAGAGCAAAACAATGATCACGTCTGCTCAGGAACAGCACTTCATTAAAACAGCTTTGGCATCAACTTGGGACGAATTAGACCCGGGCTTTTCTTAGAGACATGAGCAGATAGAGGTACTTCTTTTTCTTCTTCGATGCTAAATGGCAGACAGCCCCATTGGCTGATTTCAGTAGAGATGAATATGTCATGTTATTAGTTGTTCTGATTGGTCCTAGCGATGTCCAATTGCATGCGCAGTTTGATTGACAACCGTAGGTTCTGCCCCACAACCGAACCTTTACATCAGTTTTCTTATTGACATTTTCTTTGGTTTGTTAATTTATTGTTGCTAAGTAAGCACTAAAAAATGCTGGTATTTACATATCTTCTATGTGGACATCTTTTACATCCAGAATAATAATTTTAAGTAAATCAGGACCATAAATACATTTAGTATGTTTATTTTATGTTTATTTTTGACAAAAAAATCTAAATTAGGCGAAATTGGTACTGGCTAAAGTTACACGCCAGTGTTGGCCCTCGAAACAAAAACCAGTTAATTTCTAGAAAGAGGCAAGTGGGATTAGATGTAGATGGGATTGATAAATCTGCTCATTTACATTTTGTCTGATAGAAAAACATATCTAACATAAAATGAAACATCTGTGTTGTATGTCAACCATCTGCTGCCCTGATTTCTAGACCGTCCTTGGAAACATGAACCACATTTTGGATGTCTGTGAGCAAACTCCGTAAACCCCGCTGCCTTGTCTCAGTTCCCCTATTAGAGGACAGGATGCATCAGCATTCCCGTTTTATAGAAACATTCATACTAAAAACAAATGAGCTTTTCTTGGTGTACTTTTGTTCTCCCTTTATTTGTGTTTCTTAATATACATTTTGATGGTAGGCATCAGTGAGCTTCCTTTATAAATCCTTAGGTACTTAAAGAAACATTTGTTTCTGTGGTATAAAGACGTTGCCAGTTCATGCATCCTTTCAAAGAAAAGATAATCTCCGTGTCCTGTGTCTTATTTTCAGAGGCGAGTCTGCGGGCCCAGCTAGCAGAGAGCCAGGCGCAGGTCGAACACTGGCAGGGTGTGGCGACCATCTGTGAGCTGAGCAAACAGGAGGAACTGGCAGAGCTGCAAAAACAATGTGATGAAGAGATCCAGTCACTGCAGGAGGCTCTCAGAGGTCAGTGACGGTGGTTGTTGCTCTGTGCTTTTGCTTTCACATGTGCTTAGTAAGGAACATACCTCCCGACGGCGCATACGCATACAGTGAGTCAGGATTTAAGAACAAGAATGTCCTTGGGGGATCCCCCCCCCCCCCCCCCCCAACCACACACACACACACACACACACATACCAGTTAGGATAGGGTGACCATATTTCCATTTCCAAAAAAGAGGACGGGATCTGTTCCTACCGATGATGTCACACTATGGCAACACCACACAAACCATGTTGGGACCCATTTTTTCCCCAAGTGTAAGAGCTAAAATTAATATCAAATTCTGCCAATAAAAGGGCTCTAAAACAATTCTAATGTAAATATATTCCATATTTTTTTTTGCTGCTTTAGTGCTGCAACAAGGTTTTATTAATAAGAAATTATTATAACTTTTGTTTTACTACAGCATCGGTACGCTTCCTGTGCACAGATTATTAAGGATGCTTGTTTCAGCTGTGAGATTAGACGATAGGATCAATGAAAAAATAAGTTGTCACACACTCCATGGAAACTTTCAAATGGTTTTGTTACTTTTTGCAAGTTTAGAAAAGAAGCAGATGAGACAGCATGTCTGATAATTTAGTTTTTCATCTGATAATATTAGAACATGTCAGCGATGTCTGAGGGTCTTTAACAAACACCGTATAACTAACACTACTGGAGAGGGTTTGGATTACACAGAGGCTTCTGGGAGCCCAGTTATGGGGGTAGGAGGTGTTCTGTTTTGCCTTGGCCCCCAAAATGCATTGAAACGGCCCTGGGTGTGTGACTGAGTTTTGAAGGTGATCTGAATTGTATCAGATGTATAAATATTACATGTGTGTAACTTATTGTTTTATACAGGTAAAAACGTGTAGTGGAGATAAATCTACCTACATTTTACTTTTCAACACTTTGTTTTGTTTTCTTGTTTTTATTTAACTATTTCCTGTCCGGTCTGTCTCTCTTCTTCCTGCATCTCCTCTAAACTCTCCAGAATAACCGCTGCCTGGATTCTTACTTTTTCACCTCATCAGTTACTTTTGAGCAGATCAAAGGGATCTCCTGACCACAAAGCGTAGAGCGCGTTTCGATGCTGCGTCAGTGAGGTGAAATCACCGCAGCACAGGTGATCAGCTCCACAATAGCAGAGCGCTTCAGGCACAAATAAGACAAAGTAGAGAATATGAGCAGACACGAACGATCGTGTGTTAATTATAGTTTTTTGGTTGATCCACTTTGAGAATGGACCGTGCGCTGGACGCAGCTGCATGGAGCGCAGCAACGATCGGCGCTCTGCCGCTCTGTGCTCTCCGCTCAAAAAAGCCCCCGGTACGCTGAGAGTCCATAAATGATGTAATATAGGTAGAAACCTTTTTCCCAGCTCTCCGTGGACGTGTAGGATATCCAGCTCCCCCATAATTCGATCCCTGCTCCCGGATGAAAATCCAGACATTTTCATCAATACAAGAAACCCGCCCGGACAGAGAGTGAAAAGTGGACATGTTCGGGGGAAAGAGGATGTATGGTCACCCTAAGTTAGGGATCATTGTTTAATTTAGGGATGCACATCGGCATCATTATCGTTATTGGCCGATGTTAGCCATTTTTGAACATATCGGTATCGGTCCGATAAGTAAAACTGGGCCGATATTAACAACCAATATTTTTTCCATCTTGTTTGCGTTTGCGTATCTGTTTCAGAGGCTAATGGGCTCGACACACGGGAGGCGACAAACAACCGCGATCAGCGAAATTTGTCGCCGTCGCTTTTATTACCTGACACACGGGAGGCGATCCGTGGCAGCTGCAAAGCCGTCTACGCGTTCTGTTCCATGGCTTAATCGAAACTTCCGTTGTTTTGTTTGGCTGTGTCTGGTTGGAGGGAATTGAGGTTATTTAAGTGGTTCAGAGTAGTGTTGTCAAAAAAATCGATACCTAGATATAAATCGATGCTAAAAGTGGTATCTAAATTAGATATTCCATCCCTGTGGTATCGATATTATGGACTATTATACACAGCCTTCTTCAAGTACACCGACACGCACGACAGCCAGATGCCGTAAAGCAGCCTCTGCCTCCCAGACAAACAGAAGAAGAAGACGCCGCATGGCTACATTGCAATTTCCCACGCGAGTTGTCTCCGATCCAAGTTTTGTTAACAATGGCAACAGCGAATATGGGTGGCGCTTCACAGCCCAACTTAATTAGCATACCAAGTCCGACATGTAGTTGTATATTCACGCTTATGTGCTTAAAGGAAACTCCCGTTTATTGCAATCTGGACTTAATTTCTAGCATGCAGTACGTTTGTTTACTCACGTTGACAACTTTGGTGCTACTTGGATTCCCCGGGGTATTTAGATCCATCGGCGAATCACCATCAGTGTATATCCATATAACGGGTGCGGACGGGCACCCATGGTGCAGCCTCGAAATAAGACATTATCTGCACCAAAACATCTCAATGTCGAAAGGTTTTGTTAGGAATCATTAACATGATTCCCCTGTTCGTTTGGAGCGGGTCTGGGATTTCTAGGCGTAAACAGACTAGCCACGGCTAATCTAACCGGCGCTTTTAATGACGTCACTGCCGTGCGCCAATCTGTTTTTATTAAGATTACCGGTAGATGTACCTTTGTCCTACTGTGGAGAAATTCTTTTTCTCCCTTTATTGACCAACAGAGTTGTTCAAAAGTACAGAACAAAACATGTGGCATTACATCTTATGACAAAAATGCACCTTAAACAGAGTTTAAGCAGCAAAACATCACTCTGCAAATAATGTATATATAGTGAGACAATTCATGATTTAAAGTGTTAACTTTAACCCGTTTTTGTATGCACTTTTTAAAAAATGCTGATACTTGAAAGGTTTAATCACTTTACACACTTAATTCTTAACATTTAATTTTTGCAATATAAATTGAGGAATGTTATTTTTTGAATAAACTTGTTCAATAAATTGGTGTTTTTAAATAGTATCGAAATCGAGTATCGAGTTTTTTCCCCCCAGTATCGAATCGAGTTTGAAATGTTAGTATTGCGACAACCCTAGTTTAGAGTTTAAAAAAAGTGGTAGATATGATGTTTCACAAGGTGCTGCTAGAGTTATGTGAAATCTTACTTCTGATTTTACTATATAAAACATAATAATAATCAACTTCTCCTTGTTTGCTCGGAGATGTACGGAGCATCCTGTCCGCTCATTGGTCAGTGAATGAAACCTCCGTTGATTGGTCCTCGTCCGAGCGACAGCGATGAAAAGTTGAAAATATTTCAACTTTCTGGGATCGCGTCACTGGGTCGCCTGTGCACGAGCGCAAAATTTCACACGCACGTTTTTCGCGTTTCGCTTGGTAGGAGGGAGACCTGCGATTATGGCTTTGTCACGCATGTCTCATTGAAAATGACTGGAGGAGAGGCGATGTCGCCTCCCGTGTGTCGAGCCCATAAGGGGGGTGATGATGTGTAATTGTTTATTCCTGTGACAGTGACGGTAATCACCTCAGAAGCATAAATGTGTGTGGTATGTGCGTATAGAACACATTGCAAATTCCATTTTAAAGAAAGAAAGCAAAACATGAAAAAGATCAGCTTGCATAATTTCAATCTATACAAAATTTGCTGATTTCAGAAAAAATCAGTATCAGCAAATATTGGTTATCGGCCATAACAGTTGGATATCGGTATCGGCCCAAAAAATTCACATCGGTGCGTCCCTAGTTTAATTTCTATGGTTGTTTACTTTTTTCAAACCTCTTTACTTAATTTATAACAATGCAAACGCTTGTCCGTGTTTCACCCAGAAACTACATCTCAGACGGTTCTGCTGAAGTTTAAGCCAAGTGTTCAGATGGAGTTGTGCTGTAAATGATACTGCTGCAGGGGTGGACATTAACTTCAAAACCAACCGGCCAGCCGGGCCGGTAACTCCGAATATTTACCGGCCCCGCCAAGAATCTACCGGCCCCGCTGGTCAGCTGCCAAAACGAGTCAAAATAACAACTGAACCGTTTTAAATGTAATAAACCTTTATTTTGTACACATTCACAAACATAATAACGTATTCAAGTTTGAATTTGTTTGTTCCCTCACCAAAACTCGATTTTGTCGTCGCATACTTCCGGCATACAACGCAGTACATCACCAACTCCGCTTTGCTGTACTCGAGCCATTGGCTGTGTTCGAGATGAGCCAGTTCTGCGCAGATTAGACCAGCGGTGATCGGTGCGCAGTGCATGCCGGTTAGATTTGTGTCCGACTTAAACGCCGGCTTTCAGCCACTCCCCCTGCTGCTTCCTTCTGCTCTCGTCTGTTTTCCAGGCGAGGGGCTGCTCAACTTGAACACGGCCATTCTCTGCGCCTCCCGTCTTCTTTAAACCACCAAGAATCATTCCACCTTCGCACACGCTTCTCTGCTTCATACCGTTTCGAACTGTCTCGCTTCTCACCAGTTTTAAAGCGTTTTGCCGGAGATTTCATCAAGAAATCCCATCCCTGTGGTGGCGCCATCTTCCTGCGTGCTTGTGTGTTTCTAGCGTGGTTCCACTTCGTCTTTAATAGTGAACTTATAGTTCACCTAACTATAACTAGAATCGTGCAGTTCGTGCACGAATCGTACAAGTGCAGTACGTGCAGTACGTGGCTAGAGGCGCGCAGGTTCACGCGCGCGAAACGAAAACGGCGGCTTCCTACAGGGCGCGGCCATGATGTAGGTGAAAGCCGGTGTGTAAATGACAAACAAGACTTGGGCGCCACCCGGGCGGTAAGTCGTCAAGTATATACCGCCCGACGAGAAAATTTAACGCCATTGGCGCTCGGGCGCTTTAAAGGTCCACCCCTGTGCTGTCATGCCGGAGGACAACCCAAAGGTTGTTGGGTGTTGAGGTCTTCTAAATGGCTCATAACCTCTTCAACTGACACACCTTCATCAGACCCTGCGTACAGGGGCGTCGGACTGGGGGGGGAAAGGGTACCGTTTACCCAGGGCCCACTGCAGGGAGGGGCCCTGAGACAGCTTTGAATAAAAATGTTTTATTGTTGTTGTTTTTTCCCCCCAACTTACTTAATGTCTTAATAAACTTCCCTTTACCTGGATAAAGAGGTTAAGAAACAGAATTTCGCCTTAAAAATAATAACTGAATAATCTCTGAGGCATTTATCACCCCTTAAAAATGTGTAAAGTGGTTTAGTCCACACCAGCGGCCAGGGGCTGCACTGCCGCATGTGCTAATGAGACATCGCAAATGCCGACAGCCAGAGCTGGAGGCAGGAGAGTCAGTCATGTCTTTTCCCAAGAAAGGGAAATCTGGCTTCCAGAAAATCAAATCAAATCAAATCAACTTTATTTATAGAGCGCTTTCACATGGCCAAAATGGACAAACAAAGCGCTGTACATCAATAAAATGCAACACAATAGGACAGAGATATGACCATTAAAATACATTAATAAATCCATTAAAATACACTAAGAAATCCCTGTTAAATACCGTAATAAATCCTATAAAAATACAATAAGAAATCCATTTTAAAATACAGTACAAAAACCTGAGTGCCAGTTCACAGTCCATATCCGGCCTACTTCCCCCAACTTCAACGTCCAAAAGCCAGCGAGAACAGATGTGTTTTCAGTCTTCCTTTAAAAGTTTCTAATGACGTGGCCTGTTTTACATCAGCTGGCAGCTCATTCCAGAGACTTGGTCCAAGTACTGAAAAAGCTCGACTACCACGGGACTTCAGGCTGCACCTAGGCACAGTTAGTAATCTCTGGTCAGCTGACCTAAGGGAACACACCGGGACATGCTGGTGGATGAGAAAAGAAAAGAAAAGGAGAAGGAGAAAAGTTAATTGAACAGAAGCAAGTACTGACTAGGTTTTTCAAGAAGGTGAGCAGCAGCAGCAGAAGTTTTAGCTGATATTAGCTAGCTCTCAGAAGCTGCATTCATGTTAGGTGTTCAGTGTTAAACGCCTTTAGTTTCACCATCAAGATCAAATATAAATTAATTAGTGTTATCAGTGAAAACACTAATTAATATATATATATATATATATATATATATATATATATATATATATATATATATATATATATATATATATATATATATATATATATAAATCAGAATTATTATCGCGGGCGGCCGCCGCCAATTAATTTGCGGACCTCGCAGTAAAAACAGGTTCACTCTGTGTGGATATTTCAGCTCCTTCCCAGTCATGGACCAGGACAAACTTGGTATCGATGGATTCGTGGTAATCTCAGGAATGAGAAGCTGCCACTGTTTTTCGTATAGCATGATGATACTGGTGTTAGAGGATTGTTATTGACTTGGTTAGATATTTTAAGCCTATTTTAAATTTCTTTATATTTGATCTTGAAAACGGACAATCTTATAATTTGGCTGATAATGCAGGGATTATAAAATTTAGAGTACATTACATTCACAGAGAGAACCTGGTTTATTTCATGTCACATGTATTTAATATATCAATACATATCAGTATTAGCAAAGCTTAACATCATGAACCATGACAGACATGACTGAAGAGCAGATGAAGATATCATGCCAGGCACTGATGAGAAAACATTACAAGGATCTCACAGCTGAATTTGAGAATGAGATGCTACACCTGAGAACAATATATGGTGCCACATTTCCACACATTCGGTCTCCTCTTGAGCTGCTTAATGCCATCTATACAGGATGCAATTACAGAGCATTTTTGGAGAAGTTTGTATTGGACTGAGGAATTTTTGCACACTACCTGTGACTGTTGCTGGGGGTGAACGGGCTTTTAGCAAACTGAAACTGGTGAAAAATTATTTGAGATCAACAATGTCCCAGGATAGACTGAACAGCCTAGCTCTTCTTTCTATTGAAAGCCAATTAGCCAAAGGATTGGACTTAAAAGATCTCATAAGTGATTTTACTAACATGAAGACCTGTCAGTGGGCATTTACTGGAAAATAAATTCCAGGATTTTTGTTTGAACACATTGTTGGCAAATAAAAATAATTATATGTGAAGTCTGGGCATTTCACTTTTATTATGTTGGCATTTGTATTTGCTCAATATAGAGGTTAAACTAAGATCATATTTATTATCTTGTCTTATAGCATGACAAAAAATGTGTAAGAGAGATATTAAGTAATTGAGCATGGGGGCCCACCTAGAAGACTTGTACCTAGGGCCCAGAATTTGGTGCTACGCCCCTGCCTGCGTGGTCTTCCTCTGCACCCAGAACCATCTGCTTTGTACTGTCATCAGTACCTTTCTGATGTAGACTTCACTGAGAGGCTTGCCTTTCACATTTCCACTTGTCATCAATCTCTCCTTCCAACCTTGTCTGTGACAGTCAGTGATGAGGCCCTGATACTTTGGTCCCATGCTATCTCCGACCTAATTCATGTGGTCCCCCTGTGTCAATACAGGCTCCAGCATGATTAGGTTTCTTGTGGACTCTGAAACAAGACATTGCCAGACGTCAAAAGGTCTTGAGGACATGTTGGTCTTAGGGTTTCTGTGGTTTCTTCCTAGTGCTCTTTAGTCTACAGTAGCTGCTTCCACTCTTTTTATTTAACCTGTTTATTTCTGTTCCTCACCTGGCCACCACACCTACCAGGTCTCCATGGTGTTATCACAGCCCACTTCACAGAAGCGTCCACCTTCCACTTCCTGTCGATCTACATTTCTACTCCTGTCTAAGGGTGTGTCTCAGTGGTACGAGGACACTGTCCTTCCTTGGTCAAAGAAAACAGTTAAAGGGAACAGACTTCCCTCAGCCTCGTTGAAACAATAGATTTGTTATACGGTTGCAAGTATGAGCCCCTTTCAGAGTGACCTTTGGTTGTTCACCCTTAAACCAGTCAGCTCCTCGGTTCGCCAGGCGAGGCCTCCAAACAGGAAGTGTGGCTGGAGTAAGACTCTGGTAGGGGGGTGACTTGGTCTCTACAACCGTTCAGGTGGAGGTAATTGACCATGCACAGCTGAGCATGGCTGTTTGGTTAGATACACTGACTACGTTTACATGCAGCCAATATCCGGGTTATGATCGGGTTAAGGTCGGTATTCGGGTTTCTGAGTTGATGAGAATAACCCGTTTACAAGCATAAATAGAAAGAGTTACCCCTAACTTGCATAACCCAATTTAAATGCAGACGTTGGGGTAGCGTCAGGACGTATGGACTACGTCCAGACGCAATATGCGTCATTTCCGGTTCTTCTTGTTCCGGTATCCGTGAAAACAACAACATGTTTCCCAGTTCGGAAGAGATGGCGACCGCGTTTGTTTACGCTTTAGTGCTGGTATTGACTCACCAGCAGCTCTTACAACGACTGTGCGTACTGGCCTTCATTCGAAGGAGAGTACGTACGAGTACTTCCGGTGTTCTGGCGCATACAAGACGTCTCGCTACTCAGAAGTCCAAGATTCCTTGCGAACAGAGCATGCGCAGAACACACGCTTTGATGGGGATATCCCGATATGCGTTTACACGACCAAACATTCAGGTTAGAAAAGGGTTACCTCAGGTGTAGTAACCGGGTTTTTAAAAACCCGGTTATGAGCATATCCAGGTTTTTGGCGGTGTTTACATGGCCGTGCGGAACCGGGTTATTGTGAATATTCAGGTTTTAAAAGGGTTACTGGCTGCATGTAAACGCACTCACTGAGGCATGAAAACAGTCCCTCGTGGTAAATAGATATTTTTTATGGTGAATTTCTTTTTGGCCAGGCAGCTCACATTGATGATGCATAAATAATTGACGTGAGCGTCATAGAACCAGCAGACCCTCCGGCCTCACGCCTACTCGCCAACTCTGCTCTGTGACCTCATTACCGTATCGGAGGCCGATCTGTGGTGGAACTACCTCAAACCTCTCATTTTGCTTTGTTAAACGATTTATTGTGGATGTGTTGTGTTTTCAGAGACAGCAGCTCAGTATGAAGCCAGGATAGCTGTGCTGCAGTCTCAGCCTGTAGAGTGGAGGAGACCCAGTGGACACAACATGGTCAGAACTCATCTGGGTTACTTTCTATAAAACCGCTCAGAGCTTTTGGGACTCATTGTTTGGTTTTTGTGCTCTTTAGATTAGTAGCAGGAAGGGCAGGGTGGATCCAGAAGTCTCTGCTAATGAAACACCGCTCGTCAACAGCCTGACAGACGATGAAACGTCATCTCCGGCGTACAGAACTCGTCTGGAAGCCGAGGGAGAAGGAGCGGCGCTTTCAACAGAGGACTACTTTTCATTACAGCACTGTGACTCTGCCTCACTGTCCTCCTTCATGTTGGACACACCCTCCCTGCCCAGAAAGCTCCTCGCTCAGGAAGATACGGAGTCACTGGTGTCCACAGGAACTCTGGTGCCCGAAGCCATCTACCTGCCTCCGGCCGGACACCGACTGGTAACGCACAGCGACTGGGACGCACTCAATGCACAGGTCGGGCTGCTATCATCTACATGCTGGAGTTTAGCTTTGAAACTCCTGAAATAAACATTCTCACACACTGAACTTTTTAATACTTCCTGTGAGTTTGTGTTGGGATTAATTAGTAGTGTTTTGCAGCTGTCGGAGCTACGAGGGGAAGTGAGTCGTCTGCATGCGGAGAAAGAAGAGCTGGAGAGAGAACTGGATACACAATCCAACCACACACACAAACAAGTGGGAAACGCTGCTGTGTGTGTGTGTGCATGTATTTTTTTTACGCTGCTTAAGCAGAATAATGGAGGTGTAAACACATCTAACTTGGTGTGCAGGTGTCAGTGCTGCAGTCTCAGGTCCAGGCCTCAGAAGCTCTCCTTCAGGATTTGCAGAAATCTTTCAGCCAATCTCAGAATGCAGTCCAGAGTCGGCTGGTGGGTAGAACAAGGCTTTTTCATCTTAGAGAAAGACATTTTGGTTATTAAAGACTTCTACAGCGGTTACAGAATAAACAAACTCAATTTTACAGGTTGATTATTGAACTGATTACTGTTTGGCTGAAAAAAGACAGATTTGATCAGTTTTAGAGCGACAAGGAAGCAAAAGTAAACAGAAAAGCTGATTCAGGAAAGCAAAGGCTTGTTTTTATTTCCAACTGTGTGAAAAATAATAGTGATTCATCTACAGTTAATGTGGGCAATAATGCATTCATCAGTCACATGAAGTCAAATATTCACTCGGTTCTCAGGGAAACTAAACACGACTATTGTTTGTCTGTAGTTTTGTTTATTGTTGACTTGAATTATGATTGTTATTCACAGGCTGGAAAACCAACTTTGCTCTTTAAAGACCAAGTTCACTGAGAAACTGTTTTTACTTGTTATTTTTGAAATTTGATTGGTCTTTCTGAGTTTCACATGCAGACTAAAGCCTGATTCATGCTTCTCCGTCGGCTCCAAAAGGGAGAGGCACGCACGGACGGAGACATTTTGCCCTCATACTTCTCCGTTTCCTGGGGAGTGTTGCAAAGCAATTCCCCACCAGGACAACAGAGGGCGTAGCGCTGTTCTGTGGTATCCTGTCATGTATCGGTCCATGATAGTGTGTTTATATTGTGTTTCTTTGTATATAAGAGACTTTTTAACACGGACAAATTTCTCTCATCCTCCTCCACCTCTTCATGCGCTCGCCTCCTCTAAACCCACGTTTCCTGTCATTTCCGTCCACAAATAAAACACTTGCTGCGCATCTTTTCACTCCTCCAGTCACGGGAGAATGAAACGTTCATGTTTTTAGAGTTTTTTCACAAGGTATTCTTCAAGCTTCTCCGTGTCTGCCGCTAGTTATCCTCGGCTCTCTTTATGTTTTTGAGGGCGCGATGGCGGCGGTGTAGACGACAGCTGTGCCCTGACCAATAACAAGCTTGGGTTCTCCGTCTCGACGGCCGGATGTTTCAAAAAGAGAGCTCGACTCCGTCCGTCCTTGCAGGGGCTCTCCAGCAGGCCTGCAAGGACGGATAATGGCATTGCGTGTCTCCGCACTGACGCAGACCCAGAAGCATGACTCAGGCTTAAATGTGAAAATAGTCTTCTACTCTATTTTTGCATTAGCCACCTATGGAAAGTAGACGGGAAAACCCTCAGGTTAGAAACGCTAGTGACATTTGCACGTCAAATAGCTCAATTAGCATTCGTTAACTCACCCATCATGGTTCGCGACGAGGAAGGCTGTTGTTTATTTAACATCCAGGAGAGAAGAGTACGATCAACTAGTTGAAGCTAATCATTAGCATTAGCAACTCGACAATGTGGCAGAATGCCTACAGACTTATTATTTCAGAAGATTAAACGTCAGTGTTGCAAAGGAAATGGAATCAGTGGTCAAATTGCTTTGCTGTTAGCCAATCAGAGGCGAAATGTCCAAATATCAGGGAATCCAGCTGTTTTCTGTTCTCACTCACTCGCTCGCTCGCTCACTCACTCACTCACTCACTCACTCACTCACTCACTCACTCACTCACTCACCATAAAGTGGGAGTCGAGGCATGGGTGGAGACTTATTTCATCCACACTTCCTGTTAACAAAACGCATCTAAAGTAGGGGTTGCATGGCGGACCAAGAGAGCGGCACTGAGGCGGTGATAGATGGCATCTCCCTCAACCCCTCCTGCATGCGTTGTCAGAAAACGAGTTGTTAATGAGCGTGCACACACTTACACATGCATGCAAGCACACACTCGCAGCAGACTTAACGCTCTGGAGAAGAGCAGACACAGATTCTGCAGCATTCTGGAGGATTTCCAGTCAATCGCAGTCATTAGATGAAAAGGGGTAGTAGGGCATTTTTTTTAAGGAGGCGGGTGACTCAGAGCACCAATGTGTCATATTGGCAGGTGAGTGGTTGAGCCAGGTGGCGGTGCCGCTGCCTCACCTGGAGATCAGTGCAGTGCAGCCATGTAGTACTTTGCTGACAACGTCACGTTTTTCAGCTTAGCCATCAGCCACAGCTGATTCTAAAGAAAATGTGGAGCAGAGTTTTTCACCTGAAAATGGAGGCATATTACGTTTTTGGGCATATTAAATTTAAAGTAAGTTGCACTAAACTGCAGCACTAATGATTACACATGTCCACAGCACCATTAGACACTCATCTATACAGGTTAAGAGCAACAAAAAAGTTAAACAGGAGCGCCAGAGATTTTTTTCCCACAGAGATCGACTCACAAGGCATTAGTTTACACTAGAGACCACTGCAAATGTTGAGAAAACGAGTGAACTTGCTCTTTGACCTTTCAGCAAAGCAGCAGTATAGCTGTGTTTCTCATCAGTTAAACTATTTTATATTCCTCTGTGTTTTTGAACATTGCTGCGTGTTTTCTCTCAGGTTATGCTTTTGTCTTCCAGTCAGAGTTGTCGCTGTCTCAGAGGAAGATGTGCAGCGAGCTGTCCAGACTGAAAGGAGAAGAGGCAGAGGAGAGTGTGTCAGAAAGCAGCTCATCGTTCTCCGCCACACTGCATGTACTGTTGGTCTTTCGTTTGCTCTCACAAGTGCTGCAGTAGGAAAAACACTCAGTCACATTAAAATATCCATCCATCCATCCATTTTCATCCGATTATCCCGAGTCGGATCGCAGGGGCAGTAGCCTAAGGCGAGAGGCCCAGACTTCCCTCTCCCCATCCACTTGGGCCAGCTCCTCTCGGGGAATCCCAAGGTGTTCCTGGCCAGGTGAGAGACATAGTCCCTCCACCGTGTCCTGGGTCTACCTTTAGGTCTCCTCCCGGTTGGACGTGCCCAGAAAACCTCACCAGGGAGGCGTCCAGGAGGCATCCTGACCAGATGCCCGAGCCACCTCAACTGGCTCCTCTCGATGTGGAGGAGCAGCGGGTCTACTCCGAGCCCCTCCGGAATGACCGACCTTCTCACCCTATCTCTAAGGGAGAGCCCAGTCACTCTTGGGAGAAAACTCATTTCGGCCGCTTGTATCCGCAATCTCGTTCTTTCGGTCACTACCCAAAGCTCATGGCCATAGGTGAGGGTAGGAACGTAGATCGACCGGTAAACCGAGAGCTTCACCTTCCAGCTCAGCTCTCTTCACCACAACAGACCGGTTCAACGCCCGCATCACTGCAGATGCAGCACCAATCCGCCTATCGATCTTACACTCCAGTTTTCCCTCACTCATGAACAAGAACCCGAGATACTTAAACTCCTCCACTTGGGGCAGGACCTCATCCCTGACCCGGAGAAGGCATTCTACCCTTTTCCGAATCAAGACCATGGTCTCAGATTTAGAGGAGCTGATTCACATCCCAGCTGCTTCACCCTCGGCTGCGAACCGCTCCAGCGAAAGCTGAAGATCACGTTCTGATGAAGCCAACAGGACCACATCATCTGCAAAAAGCAGAGACCTGATCCTCAGGCCACCAAAACGGATGCCCTCCACACCTTGGCTGCGCCTAGAAATCCTGTCCATTAAGGTTATGAACAGAATCGGTGACAAAGGGCAGCCTTGGCGGAGTCCAACTCTCACTGGGAACGAGCCTGACTTACTGCCGGCAATGCGGACCAAACTCTGACACCGGTCATACAGGGACCTAACAGCCCGTATCAGAGGGTCTGGTACTCCATACTCCCGGAGTACCCCCCACAGGGCCCCCCTGAGAGACGCGGTCAAACGCCTTCTCCAAATCCACAAAACACATGTAGACTGGTTGGGCAAATTCCCACGCACCCTCCAGGATCCCCCTAAGGGTATAGAGCTGGTCCAGTGTTCCACGGCCAGGACGAAAACCACATTGCTCCTCCTGAATCTGAGGTTCAACAATCTGACGGACCCTCCTCTCCAGAACCCCCAAATAGACCTTACCAGGAAGGCTCAGGAGTGTGATCCCCTGTAGTTGGAACACACCCTGTGGTCCCCCTTTTAAATAAGGGAACCACCACCCCAGTCTGCCAGTCCAGTGGGACTGCCCCTGATGTCCATGCGATACTACAGAGCCGCACCAGCCAACACAGCCTCACAACATCCAGAGCCTTAAGGAACTCCGGGTGTATCTCATCCACCCCTGGAGCGTTGCCACAGAGGAGCTTTTTAACCACCTCAGTGACCTCAGCACCAGAGATTTGAGAGGCCAACCCAAAGTCCCCAGACTCTGCTTCCTCGCTGGAAGACGTGTTGGTGGGATTGAGAAGGTCCTCGAAGTATTCTGCCCACTGATCCACAACGTCCTGAGTAGAGGTCAGCAGCACACCGTCCCCACTATAGATAGTGTTGGTAGCGCACTGCTTTCCCCCCTGAGGCGCCGGATAGTGGACCAGAATCTCGTCGAAGCCGTATGGAAGTTTTGCTCCATGGTCTCACCGAACTCCTCCCATGCCCGGGTTTTTGCCTTGGCGACCACCCGAGCCGTGTTCCGCTTGGACTGCCGGTACCCGTCAGCTGCCTCTGGAGTCCCACAGGCCAAAAAGACCTGATAGGACTCTTTCTTCAGCTTGACAGCATCCCTAACCGCCGGTGTCCACCAGCGGGTTCGGGGGTTACCACCACGACAGGCACCGACGATCCTGCGACCACACCTCTGGTCAGCCACCTCAACAATGGAGGCATGGAACAGGGTCCATTCAGACTCAGTGTCCCCCGCCTCCCCCGGAACATTTTGGAAGTTCTGTTGGAGGTGGGAATTGAAGCTCCTTCTGACAGGAGACAGCCAGATGTTCCCAGTAGACCCTCGCGATACGTTTGGGCCTGCCTGGTCTGACCAGCATCTTCCCCCACCATCTGAGCCAACTCACCACCAGGTAGTGGTCAGTTGACAACTCCGCCCCTCTCTTCACCCGAGTGTCCAAAACATGCGGCCGCAGGTCAGATGAAACAACAACAAAGTCGATCATCGAGCTGCAGCCTAAGGTATCCTGGTGCCAAGAGCACATATGGACACCTTTATGTCTGAACATGGTGTTCATTATGGACAATCCATGACTGGCACAGAAGTCCAATAACAAAACACTGGAATACAGATCGGGGGGTCGTTCCTCCCAACCACACCTCTCCAGGTCTCACTGTCGTTGCCCACGTGAGCGTTAAAGTTCCCCAGCAGAACAAGGGAGTCACCTGAAGGAGCGCTTTTTAGCACCCCCTCCAAGGTCTCCAAAAAGGGTGGGTAGTCTGAACTGTAGTTTGGTGCATAAGCACAGACGACAGTCAGAACCCGTCCCCCACACGTAGGCGGAGGGAGGCTAGCCTCTCATTCACTGGGGTAAACCCCAACGTACAGGCACCAAGATGGGGGTCAACTAGTATGCCCACCCCTGCTTGGCGCTTCTCAGTGGGAGCAACTCCAGAGTGGTAGAAAGTCCAACCTCTCTCAAGGAAACTGGTTCCAGAGCCAGAGCCATGCGTTGAGGTGAGTCCGACTATATCTAGTTGTAACCTCTCAACCTCACACACCAACTCAGGCTCCTTCCCCACCAGAGAGGTGACATTCCATGTGCCAAGAGCCAGCTTCTGTAGCCGAGGATCAGACCGCCAAGGTCCCCGCCCTCGACTACCACCCGTCACACACGGCACCCGACCCCTTTGGCCCCTCCCACGAGTGGTGAGCCCATGGGAATGGGGACCCACGTTTCCTCTTCGGGCTGTGCCCGGCCGGGCTCCATGGGTGAAAGCCCAGCCACCAGGCGCTTGCCAACGTGCCCCACCTCCATGCCTGGCTCCAGAGGGGGGCCGCAGTGACCCACGTCCGGGCGAGGGAACACTGTTTCCATTTATATAATTCATCCTAAGAGGTCTTTGGGCTGCTCTTTGTCTGATCCCTCACCTAGGACCTGTTTGCCATGGGTGACCCTACCAAAGGCAGAAAGCCTCAGACAACTTGGCTCACATTAAAACAAATGTATACAATGGTCTGGTGAAATTTTCACACAGTTACGTTAAAAACTAGACGTGAGCGTGACGTGAACACACACCTGTTTCTGTACAGTATTCTAGAAAAGGTGATGTTGGTAGTGCAGGTTTAAAGGTTGCCTCGTTGCAGGAGCGCTTCATTGAGCTTTGTCTGATTCTGCAGGGGCCGCATTGTGAGGAGCGCCTTCGCATAGAGATCGTCAACCTGAGGGAGCAGCTGGACACTCGCACAGAGGAGAACGGTCCGTGGATTATTTCATTCTGGGTTTGGGTTTTACTCTCTCACCGTTTTTAACTTTTCTCTTCCTGTTCGTCCCTCCTGGATGCTGCTGATTCAAACCCTCATCAGAGGTTTTAGAGGGTGAGTGAATGCCTCTCATTCAACCTTTAAACATCTGTATCCTGTTGGATGAATATCAGTCTTGTTTCTGTAACTTAACATTGATATGTTTTAAACTCGTGTCTGCAGTGCAGCTTTCCACTCTGAGAACGGAGACTGAGAAGATTCAGTCTGAGCTGCTGGCCTGTCACACTGAGCTGGACGCCCTGCGGGTGGCGCTCACTCACCTACAGTCCACCAACAAAACCCTCAGCAATGAAAAAGTAAATCTGCTGTGTTTGTCCATCATGTGGCTCATTAAATGAACTGATCATCTTTAATTATAAAAAAAAGAAAAAACACATTTTTGATGATTTTAATTGTTTTTAAAACATGCGTTATGGTCACAGATTTGAACAAATCTTCTAACTGACTCGTTAGTGGCAGAGATCCACATCAATTACAATTATAACACTGAATTTAGACTAATAACTGAAGTAAAAAGATATTTAGGTGTGCTTTTGTGTGAAGATTATAAATAATTACTGTTAACATCTTACAGGGTTGATTTGCTAACAGCTAGCCAGAAGGTCCACATTTAGCCGTTTCTTGGGACATTCATGCTTGAGAATAACCAGAGATTATTGATTACAATGTGTTTTGATGACAGTTTTTAGGTTTATAAAATAAATTTGTTTTATTAAAAATGGACCAGTCTGTGTGCAGTATGGGTACAGTGAAAGCATGTCAACCTGTCCGATTTAGCCACACAGGCTCAGTTTCATCTATAGTCACCCCATCACAGACATGTCCAGAGAGCAGCCCAGGAGCAATTTGTAGCCTCTGGATTGATTTTATTTTTTCTAGAGTGGCTGAGTTTCCTGTTTCCAGCAGGTTTTAATCCTGTACACAAGTAGCCACGTGGCCGACAAAACCGTCCTCTGCACAAAAGTGAAGCTAAACGCCACCTAAAACGATTCTTTCCAAAACTCCGACCAAAGGGCTGATTTACGATTTCTCCGTTGCCAGCATTTGCTTATGGACATAAATATCCAGGGTTTTAGGTTTTGCAACTTCACTGCTCGCAGCAAAAATGCTCTGACATCACATGTGCATCTTATGTTTACACTCGATTGTTTTTAAAAACTCAATAATTGCGCTAAATAGAAGATCACACGCAAAGGACGACATTAAGGATGGTCTCTGTCCGCTAGTTATTCCGCAACTAGGTTTAGTGGTGTGGTTTTACAAAACCCAGCTATGTGTGTACATAGCCTTAGATCAAGACTTTAAAATGCCATGTTCTGATTTTTACTTATGCGGTCTATGTTTGAACATACAAATAAAAATAAATCACCTGAAATAATTCTTTTAAAATATGTTCATTAACATTTTTGTGGCCCACGAGGACTTTTAACGCAACACCTTTGTCCTGACAGGTCGATTAGACAAAGAGTAAACAAACTATAAAAACACAAGATTAATTAAATCACATGATCTGAGATGAGAGGATAAAACATCTTTATAAAAACTGAAAACAGCGTTTAACGTTTGCACAGGAACAACTAAAGTAATGCTGTTCTATAAGAAGCTCACGGTGGATTTATCAGGATTATCTCTGTGGCTTTCAGGCGGCTCTGCACCAACAGAGTCTGGAGCTGCGAAGCCAAGTGATCAGTCTGCGCTCTCAGCTCGACACCAGCCAGGCTGTTCAGATGGACTTCGTCCAGCTCTCCCAGTCACTACAGGTGTGGTGGAAATCGGCTTCGTCATTACCGGTGCATTTCTTTCTCCACCGTGCTCCTGGAGGGCTCTGAAGTTTTAAACTCTGTCCCTCTCCACTCTCAGGTGAAGCTGGAGCTGGTTCGCCAGGCAGAAAGTCTGGAACAGGTGAGACAAATCCTGGAGGGGGATACCGGTCCGGCTGGCTCGCAACCTGCTGATGCCTCGTGAGGCTCCAGAACCAAAGACCCAGAGAGGTCAGGCAGAGACTCGGGTGGAGGGACTGCCGGTGCTGCTATAACCCTGGATCTGCACGTGGACGATATGACCCTCATAGCGGAGGATTTTATTTGCCAGACACGGTTGATTAGTGACCAAATTAGCCACTAATGCACTCTCTGTGCAGCATTTTTGTAATACTGACCTGCTCCAGCAAAACACTCAACTCTCCAACACTAACAGTTATCATTATGCATAAAACAGACGTTTCTCTGTAAAGTGGTGCAAAACAGACGTTCCTAATCACCAGCTTTCTCTTAGCATTTTTATGTATTTTTGGTATTATAAATAACTATAATATGCATATTTTTGGGTTTAGCAGAAACATTCCTATTTTATAACAATAGAAGCTAGGGTAGAGAGTTATTCAAGAATTATATTTCTTGTCTTAATACACGCTGATATAACAGAGAACATGCAATTATTCTCAAGTATTAAGGTCTAACACAATGATGGATCAATTCCTGGCTCTGTGCGACTGAACATACAGATACGCTACTGAAAATTAAGATTCCATGTTTTCTTTAGTACACATCTTTATTTTTTAAGAACAGAATAAACAGAAAAGCTTTTATATTCCTTAACTATATATTATTTTCAATACATACACAGAAAAACAATTGCAGCATTTTTTTGGTGTATTTTCAGGATGCCTTTTGTGTCTTGTATTCACACCGCTGGATGTTTTTGATCATGTGACTTGGAGCGCAGTCGTTCCGCTGCAGCGCTCTGCCTTTTCGCTCTGTCCTCCGTGTCTCAGTGCTTCCCTCGCTTCAGACGCTCGCGGCCTCTTCTGTCTTTAGACTTTTCCTGGATGGACAAAGAAAAGATGTGTTGGTTCTAAGCAAAATTGGAAGATGATTTGCTTTGAAGTTGTTTTTACAATTTTACAACTCATCAGGACATTGTGGAAAGTACTGTAACCAGTGTTTGTGGAATTAAAGCAGATGGTTTTAAGTATGGTTCTGTGGAAAAGTCGTGAACTGGTTCAACACTTGTTGTAACAACCTCAGTTTGGAGAAATGCTATTTTCTCTGACAATGACACTCATGTAAATGTTGCCATTCAGACTTATTTATATAGAGGTTTGTGCTGGGGAGCTCTCTCTTTATTAACCTAATAAGGTTAATAAAACATTGTTTGCACAGATTGCTATGAATATTTTTTTAGATTAGACTTGTTTTGGCTAGCTCTGTTTCTCTAAACTGAGGTTGTTCTGAGCATCAGATGATAAATCATAACCTCCCCCATGTGAAAGATCTGAACTATCGCTTTAATTTGTCATCATTCTGTAATTTAATGCCAAACAACCCCTGAGCATCAAAACTAAATCCACTCTGTTTGTTATTCCCTCTGAATTTAGTTTAAACAACAATAAACTGAAAGTTTAAGTGTTTGTATTTGAAGTTTTCTTTCCAGAGACGTAGAGGAAATTAATTTAGGAAACAAAATGTAGAAGTTGGAGCCACATGTGCTGCTTAGCTTTAAGCCCCTCCCCAAGTGCACCAAAAATAAGTCTTTTTTTTTCTTTTAGCTCATATTAGCTACTTGATGCCAAAAAAAAGGTAATCCTCAACCATATGCTGGTGATGCAGTTTGTAGCAATGTTGTCTTGCAGCATGAAGGTTGCAGGTTTGAATCCTGCATTCCTTGTGACTTTTCTGCAGAGTTTGCAGGTTCTGCATTAATGGGTAAACTAAGCTTTAAATTAGCCCTCTTGTGTCCTGCTGACAATAAGGCAAGCAAACCCAAAAAGTCCTACCTACAGCTGTACTAATTAAACATTCTTCAGCTGGTGCCCTGATGGACACATCTGGTTGGCCTTGGACCAGTTATGCTTTTAAAGGATTAAAACTCATTCACTCAGGATGAGATTAATTGATTTATTAGTGCAAAATTCTTGTTTGTCTTGTGATGATTTTGTACGAAGGAAACAATTGTGCTCACCTTTTAGCAATGATATAAGCAGCACGGTTTAATTTTTAAAATAATCCCAGAATATTTCTATCACTGTTTATCTAAATTCTGAAGATCCACAAAAAAAGATCTTGATTTTAAAGTGATTTCAGTGGAACATTGTAATGACATATTTGAAAAATAGGCTACATATGGATGAGAAGGATTTTTTAGCAACCTAACCAGTGTTAATCTGAGATTTTTTAGCTGTGGGTCAAGAGTGAACATATTTGGGAAACACTGCAGCAGACTATCACTGGATCTGAACGGCATTAAATTAGCCTCCGAGAACAAAGTAAGGAATCTTGTTATCTTTGACCAGGACATGTCATTCAAATCCTACGTTAGGTTTGTAGGATTTTCTTCTTCCACCTCCACCTTCGGAATATTGCTAAGATTAGAAGCATCCTTCCCGGAAGTGATGCTGAAAAACTAGTTCATGCATTTATTACATCAAGACTGGATTACTGTAATTCATTACTCTCAGGAAGTCCACAGAATGTAGTTAAAAGTCTTCAGCTTGTCCAAAATGCTGCAGCTAGAGTTCTGATGAGAATTTAAAAGAGAGATCATATCTCTCCTGTCTTAGCTTCCCTACATTGGCTGCCTGTTAAATTCAGAATAGATTTTAAGATCCTCCTTACCACATATAAATCTCTTAATAATCAAGCTCCATCATACATCAGTGACCTGATTGTTCCATATGTTCCTAACCGAGCACTTCGCTCTCAGACTGCAGGTCTACTGGTGGTTCCCAGAATATCTAAAATTAGGATGGGAGGCAGATCTTTTAGCTATCAGGCTTCTCTCTTGTGAAACCAGCTCCCAGCTTTAGTCCGTGAGGCAGACACCGTGGCTATTTTTTAGACTAGGCTTAAAGCATTTTTAGTTGATAGGGCCTATGGTTAAAATCTGACGTTAACCCAGATCTGGACAAGTGGGGGAGTAGAGGGAGGTGGAGTGTACAGTGGAGAATAGTCTGTAAAGACGACTCTCCCTTGCCCTGCCTCCATCTAAAAGGCTAGGTTATCCAGAGTTATCTCTGTAGTTATGCTGCTATAGGCTTAGACTGCTGGAGGACATGCTATAATCTATAACTTTCTTCTACCACTATAGCATTATTTCCTGCTATTTCAGCTGTTAACTTTATTTTCACTCGAGTGTTTTTCTCCTCAAAATAAGCTACACTGATGTTCTACTGAGCTGTGGTGCCCTCATGGTGGGGGCCATCAGCTTGAACACTGCTGCTAACCACTTAAACGTTCTCCCTCTCCTGATAACATTTTCCTTTCTTTGATATGGAATGTGCTACTACTAGTTCATCTGTTGAATTAATTGTAGATTAAATAAGATGAAGACGAATTTCATCTCTTACTTAATGGATCTACTAAGAAATCAATGCCATAGAAACACTACTGTGTGTGTGTTCGTGCGTGCGTGCGCTCGCCGGTGGGTATGTGCGCATGTCTGCTCTGTCTTCTCACTCCCCAGCGAGTCGTGGCGGATGGCTGCTTATACTGAGCCAGGATCCTCAGTAGTTTAAAAGGGAGTTTTCCTCTCCACTGTCGCTACATGCTTGCTCAGTATGAGGATTGCTGTAAAGACACTGACACAAGTCAGTGACTCGATGCAATCTGCTGGGTTCTTTATATAGGAAACTTTTTACTCATTGGCTTAATAATTAAACTGTATTGTAATGTATTATTTAGTCTGGCAACGCTCCATTGACGGCTCTCGGTTGTGGGGCGGGTTCTACCGTTGTCTTTCAAATGATCTCCGCATTCCACTGGACAATGAATGTGACATACTCTTGTTTCACTCTGTTGCATTATCCCACCCACCAGGCATATAGAGTGCCCTGATTGGCCCACAAAGCGGATAAAGCTCTGTGATTTGTTCACTAAGCAGATAGAGCACTATGATTGGCCCACCATTATGGACCAATCACAGCTCTTTATGTGTTTGAAACCCCTCTAGAGAGCTGTGATTGGCTAGCCAGAGTCCTGGTAGGAGCTGCGGAGGTTCCAATGGAGCATGCCTAGACCAAACTTTGCAAAGCAAGAATTTGGTCTAGTTCACTAGGCTAGCTTGAGACAACTCTTGTGATTTGGCGCTATAGAAATAAACTGAACTGAATTGAAATTGTAGATGTGCCCTTTGGTCCCACTCAGACTAGTCGCTAGCTTATCAATCTAGTCAGAATTAATCTATCCCTCCAAACTGAGGTCATTCAAAGAGCTATTTACCGTAGGTAAGCCAATAAACATTTCCATTGTGAGCCCTAGCTGCAGGCACTAACTGAAAACATACTTTACAAAAGTAAGCCTGTCGCAACATAAAAACTATGAAACAAAAAGTTTGTGCACTCACCCTCCAGATATGTGCGAGCCACAAATTTGAGAAGCTCATCAAGAAGAATAACGGGGAAGGAAAGTTTCAGCACCATCATCCACTGCTCCACATTCAAATGGGTGAGCTTGAAAATCAGCTGCAGGTAAAAATAAAACTAATGTTAGACACCAGTTCCAGCTGGAAATTGCGAATCTGTTATATGATCGTTGAAGTTCATGTGAGGGTTTTATGTTAGACTCACGGGCAGGGGGTCAACGTAGATGATCATGAAGTGAAGGGACATGGAGAGGGTCATGGCACCCATCAGCCAGCCATTGCTCCAGGGGGGCATCCGCACCAGGGACTGGTTCTCAGACAGGCTGATGGGAACATGGGGCCAGACAGGAGCTCATTAGTGCAGAGTGAGAGCTAGCATGTGAAAATATAGATGTGCAACAGGAAATATTCCTGTAGCAAATCATTACAAAAGGATGACTAATGTTTTATGCCACTGTTTAAAGTTGAAATATAAATACTAGAATTTCCACCTTAGCCCAAACAGCCTGCTTTAGAGCTCAGGGATGTGAGGGTTTAGGTTAGGGGTATTCAATTCCAGTCCTGGAGGGCTGGTAACCAGTGTGTGTGTGTGTGTGTTAATGCAGCAATATCACATTTGGAATAGAAATTAGCTTAAAATATTTTTTTCATGCAGTATAGCTATAAATATACTGTGGAGAATACAGCCTCCCACAATCCTGGGAATTTTATGAAGCTAACACTGAAGTGGCAAAAATTGCAGTTCCACCCTCATCCACTGGGGGCTGGCACCAGAAGTGAGCAAATCCCCATTTACTCCCATGTTAAAAATGCCAATTTTATAGCAGAAATGAACATGTTTACAGCCTGGTTTAAAAAAACATATAGGTTTAATAGATCTAGTTTACAATTAATGACAACTCCGAGGGGCGTGACTATTTTGTAACTCTTTCATTTAGGTGTAATTAAATGCTTGAAATTTTGAATTATTAGATTTGATTGCCAGGTGGCATGAGCATCAGAGCTATGTCAGAGCTAGCGCCAGAGGCTAGCACCGGTGAAAGCCTCAGCCTGGGGCTCACGTTAATAGGTGTATGGCCATTTTGACTCTGAACTTTAGCTGTGTCCTCTGTGTGTTCATGTTTGGAAGTTAATCTTGGAATTATTTGGACAAAGAGGGGAATCTGTGGTATTGACTGTGCTAAGAGATCATCCAAGAAATCTCTGTTTCATTTTTATCACTAAGCAAAATTGTATTTGCACCGTGTCAACACAGCGCCATTAGCCAAGTCGACCCTCCTGTCTCCGGCCGGGAGCGCGACATGGAGCCTGGGGCGGTGACAATGGCGGACCCGCAGGTTTTTGACCACGGTGGACCAGCAAAGCCCGATATTCTCGGTCAGCTTATCTATTTTTGATTTTGTTACTAAGCAGACCTGAGGTACCTTCACTTTGGAGTCACTCTACTGCGTTTTTCTTGCTAAAAACGCCGGAAAAACTCTTGTTAGCTTTGGCTTAGCATGTAGCTAATGTAATGTTATGAAATTGACTGATTTTGAGACCCACAGGTCAGATCTACAGCCAGGTCAACTTACCCCTGGCTACAACTCCAACCTACAATATTCTCCCTCACAGGAGACCGAAAGTCTGCACGCAGTCCCTTTAAATCAGAGACTGCCTTCCTCACACCAGCTGGACTCAGAGCCTGACGCCCTGACAGAGATAATAAAAGATAAACAATAACATTCTCTCCTATCAAGGTCCCTTTACAGAGGAACTCATTAAATAAACTCGTTGATTCACAGATCAGAAGAATAAGAAGATTTTTGAAATGAAAGATAATCATTAAATAAACGTGTGTTTATTGCTACTTATAATAATTATAAAACAATGAAATGTTTAATTAATCTGTGCTTAATGATATATGTTTAGCATGTTTACTTGATGAGGTCATCACCATTTGCACTCACACAAGGACAAAGTAAAGTTAAGTTAAACGCATGACACATGGTTAGCCTTTTGCCCAGTTCAGAGTCTCCGAATCAAAGTGGGCGTGTGTTTCTGAGATTCTTGGTAATAACCCTCAAACTTGTCAACTTTCGGTTGGCTGCCTATTCATAACATCAATATGTTCAAACTAGATTGCTCTGGTTTTTCCACCAGTTCAGTTCAGTTTGAACAGCTCGAGAGTTCTAGAGACCGTTGGGACGGCCGCCCAACGCTCTTTAACCAACAAGCAATCTTTGCCACGCCGGCAAGTTTGCTTCCAGCTGATACAACAAGATAGTACCTGCAGAGCAAAGTTGACGCAAAACTCCTTCAGAGTTATTTTTAAGACGCAACTAGTTTCAGCAGTCGTTGTGACCCGGAGACATCTCAGGACCGACCTGGTCACACTAAGGTTTCTCTACCCATCTCGTGCTTGGGGTCGTCACTCCTCCTGACATCTCGGATCCAGACGGGGGTCTCCAGAACGGGTGAGGTAGACACTTCAGATAGATTGCGTCTTGATGTTTTTAATAAGAAACAACTTAGCTTATTTGCCAACCAAATTCTTTTATACCCAGAACTCAGCTCTCTGAGATACGGAGATTCTGACTACATTACATGGTCGGAGGGACCGGTGGCGCCAGTGCTCGGCAGCCTCGCCTCTGTCAGTGCGCCCCAGGGCAGCTGTGGCTACATTGTAGCTCATCCCCACCAGTGTGTGAGTGTTAGTGTGAATGGGTGAATGACTGATTGTGTTGTAAAGCGCCTTGGGGGGTTCAAGACCTCTAGAAGGCGCTATATCAAATACAGGCCATTTACCATTTACCATTACATTTACACATACGTTCCAGACACCACCCTTTAGTTCGCATCCACTTACAGTAAATAATAGTTTGAACAATTTGTCAAGTTTTAATTGTTTGTAATATAAATTCTTATTTTTATAAACCTGACTGTTTCTTGAATCAAAATGAAGTGTGTACAATCCCCTAATGAATAAAGAATCCTAGAATCTTCTGACTAAAAACAGAAAAGACCAGGCAAGGTGATATTCTATATTTAAAGAGCATCACAGCTTATTGGTCACAAGTTGTGTTAATAATATATTAAGCTCTTAAAGCAATTTACATAACCCAACACACTATTTATTAGCATTACACTAATGTTCCGCTGATCTCCAAACGTAGAGCTTGAGCTGACGTAAAAGATCACGGCACCCAGCTACGACTGAAGCGGTCTGAGGCTCTGCTTGTAATTTAACAATCCTGGTTCGTATTAGATCTCCACAGGCGACCAGCTTGACTACAGCCTTGCACGGAAGCCAGGCGGCTGTGCAGGTGGGCTACCCTGGAGCCCCTTCCTAGCTTCTTGTGTTAGCAAAGTTAGCTAGTAGCTACATTGGTTCATTTGTTCCAAACCTGTTCTGCCTTTTTCCCCATTTTTGGATTGTCTGGTCATGACGAGACATGTGACATGGTCAAAATGGCGGTGGTGGGAACCTCCCATTTTATATATCAAAAACTTACAACTCAAGCCTATGAACATTATTTGTCCAGTACACAGTAAATGTCGATGGGAGATTTAAAAAAAATGATCTAAAAGCCTCCACCAATAACAGGTTTCAGACCGAAATGAAAGATTTAAAAAAACATTTTTCCTTTTCCCATAGCTTTCTTGAGCAGCCAAGCACTTTAACCACTGTGGTACGTTGGTCCAGAGCAAAGTTCTACCTGTTTAGAGCATTGCACATCTCTATGGTGACCAGCACAGACAGAGCCATGGTCATCGGGGGAGCAGACTCAAACACGTCACAGTGGACGCTAGCAAAGTCCTCATTCTCCTCACTGCATTGCATAAAGTGAGACTGACAGAAAGAGAAAAAGTTGGAAGATACTTCAAATAGGTTCTGCTGGCAGCCTCTTTCTGAATGTTGTTGAATCAATGAATGACTAACCAGTTGGTAGAAGGTGACCTCTGGGCCCTCATCACAGTACAGAAACCACCAAGCAGCTGCTGCCACTGTTGCAGCACCAACATAACCTGTAAGTAAAGGCATCAGAAGTGAGCTTTCTACACAAAACCCACACAAATGTCCAAATAAAGATGGCAAAATAAAATAAAAAAACATCAATAACAGTTAAAAAAAAACATTTTGATTTGGTGCAAAATGTCTAGTAGGTGCAACTATAGCAACAATGTTCCTATTGAATAGCACCAGAGTATTCCTGAAAAAACATTGGGAGTGCTTGCATTTGGTGTTTCATGTCCAACTCTTTTAATGCAGGTTTATGCTCTAAAGGTTGAAACATAGAGACACAGGGACAGTCTGAGCCAATTGCAGAGCTTTATTTCTACGCCTTTTATGGAGAGCTGACAGGGGGACACAAGGCAGACTGAATAAACCTTAATGCACCTTTCTATTATCTGACCTTTTCCGATTTAAGACCAAAAAATTCTCTAAATCCGAGACCATGGTCTTAAATCAGAAAAAGGTAGAATGCCTCCTCCAGGTCAGGGACGAGGTCCTGCCTCAAATGGAGGAGTTTAAGTATCTTGTGGTCTTGTTCACGAGTGAGGGAAAAATGGAGCGTGAGATTGATAGGTGGATTGGTGCTGGGTCTGCAGTGATGTAAGCACTGTACCGATCTGTCGTGGTGAAGAGAGAGCTGAGCCGGAAGGTGAAGCTCTCGATTTACCGGTCGATCTACGTTCCTACCCTCACCTGTGGTCACGAGTTTTGGGTGGTGACCGAAAGAACGAGATCGTGGATACAAGCGGCCAAAATGAATTTTCTCCACAGGGTGGCTGGGCTCTTCCTTAGAGATAGAGTGAGAAGCTCGATCATCCGGGAGGGTCTCGGAGTAGACCCGCTGCTCTTCCACATTGAGAGGAGCCAGTTGAGGTGGCTCGGGCATCTGGTCAGGATGCCTTCTTGACGTCTCCCTGGTGAGGTTTTCCGGGCACGTCCAACTGGGAGGAGACCCAAGAGAATACCCAGGACATGCTGGAGGGACTATGTCTCCCGGCTAGCCAGGGAGCGCCTTGGGATTCCCCCGGAAGAGCTGGCCCAAGTGGCTGGGGAAAGGGACGTCTGGGCGTCTTGGCTTGGGCTACTGCCTCGCAACCCGACTCCGGATAAGTGGCTGAAAATGAATGGATCTATTATTTTAACAACTTATTCCTCTGTAGAGTCGCAGGGAGCTGTTGCCTAACTCCAGACACCAGGCAAGAGGCAGTGGACACCCTTGACATCTCCAGTCCATCAGAGAGACGCAAACAATGACCAGTCAATCACGCTCACCTAGAGATACATTAATCTCCAATCAATATTGCATGCATGTTTTGGTCCGTGGAAGGAAGTTGGAGCACCCAAAGTAAAGCCACACGTGCACGAGGAGAACATGCAAACTTCATTCAGAAAGGCTCCAGCTGGGATTCGAACCTGCAACCTTCCAGCTGTGATGCAACAATGTCACCGAAAGGTACCGAAAATCCCAATAAATTGCTTCTGTTTTTGAGTTGCTAAACTTATATTTCTATTATACGACTCAGTTGCAAACGCATTAATCTCTATGGATTTCTGTGGCACGTACCAATTAGAGATGCCGTTGTGATGAAAATGTCTTTGTTTCACTTTAAGAGTTAAACATTTACCACTGGAAATCTTTTTTGAGTAGATTGTTATTAACAACTAGAGGATTTTATTTCCTAGTTAACATCAAACCAAATAACAGGTGAAGCAATTCAGTGATTGGTTAATTCCAGACTTTACAAGGATAATCATTTCTAATGTAAGGGATCAAACAAAGTAAATGTTAAGGACCTACCTCCAATGGCTAGATATCTGAAGAAGAGCCAGCCGGAGATGAGGGGCTCTTTTGGGGAGCGGGGAGCTTTGCCCATGATGTCCAGGTCAGGAGGATTGAAGCCGAGTGCAGTGGCAGGCAGACCATCAGTCACAAGGTTAACCCAAAGAAGCTGAACTGGTATCAGAGCCTCTGGCAAACCCAGGGCAGCGGTCAGGAATATACTGAAGGAGTGAAAAAGGTTTAATAAATGCCTTGAGTTGTTTTCTCGTGACGTTTCCTTATGAAGGTTTAAAGTGATATGTACTCACCAAACAACCTCGCCTACATTGGAGGAGATGAGGTAGCGGATGAACTGCTTCATGTTGTTGTAGATGGCTCTGCCCTCCTCAACAGCGGACACAATGGAAGAGAAGTTATCATCAGCCAGGACCATCTCAGAGGCAGACTTGGCAACGGCAGTGCCAGAGCCCATGGCGATGCCAATCTCCGCTTTCTTTAAGGCAGGGGCATCGTTCACTCCATCACCGGTCTAGGTGAAAGGTAGATGGACAACAGAAAGAGTGAGTGGATTTGCCTGAGAAGTTTAATCAAAAATCTTCTATAAATCTCACCATCGCTGTTATCTCATCAAAGCCCTGCAGGAACTCAACGATCTTAGACTTGTGGGATGGCTCCACTCTAGCAAAGCAGCAAGCCTTTCGGACTGCATTCTTCTGGTCAAATGGCGCAAGGTCATCAAATTCCCGACCGGTGAAGGCCTTGCCGGTGACATCCTCTTCCTCAGAGAAGATTCCAATGCGTCTACAGATGGCTACAGCCGTACCTTTGTTGTCGCCTTGAAAAGAGGACCAGAAAGGAAGGTTTAGTTGTTTCCGTTTGTGTGTGATTGGGTCAATGGGGGTCAAAGATACAAGCTGACCAGTGATCATGATGACACGAATACCGGCAGCCTTGCACAACTCGATGGAGCTCATGACTTCCTTACGAGGAGGGTCAAGCATGCCAACACAGCCGACAAAGGTCAAGTCCATCTGGGAACATGAAAGAAAACATGTTCAAATAGGAGGGGCACAAATCTGTCATGTGCTTTAGTTTACCAACCTCATATTCTGCAAACTTGGTGGAATCTTCCAGGTTCATGTCTTCTTTTTTTGGAGGAGTGTCACGAGTGGCAAGTGCCAAACAGCGGAGTGTGTCCCTACCAGTGCCCCACTCCTTGATGACTGACAGGATTTGGTCTTTGACTGAGCTAGTGAGCTGCACACGATTGGTTCCCACGCGAACATAAGCACATCGATCGATCACACCTTCTGGAGCACCCTGACGACACAGCGAAGACAATCATTGAAGTTGGTTTTACTCTTATTAAGTTTGTGTGCATAACACTCCTACAAACAGAAACATAAAATTTGACTTTCATTTCCGTAGAGCCTTATAAACAGTGCAGCACGTACAGTACCTCTTTAGACTAAACGTTGGCAACATGCCAAAGAAGCAAAATTGTGAGAAAATATCACACTGTTTTGTTTGATCTGCACTGAATCCTTTGGTGCGCAAGCAAGCAGTGAATTGGTCTCATGCAACTTTTCTAACTGTAGGTACAAAGTCACACATTCCATCCATCCATCTGCCCGTGCTTCCGTCTGTCCTTCTGTCTGTACATACGTCCATCCATCCATCCATTTTCCTTCGCTGATCCAGGGTCAGGTCACAGGGGCAGCAGCCTAAGACTTCCCTCTCCCCAGCCACTTGGAACAGCTCCTCAGGGGGAATCCTAAGGCGTTCCCTGGCCGGCCAAGAAACACAGTCCCTGCAGCGTGTCATGGGCCTTCCCTTGGGTGCCCAGAAAACCTCACCAGAGAGGCGTCCAGGAGGCATCCTAACCAGATGCCCGAGCCACCTAAATTGGCTCCTCTTGACGTGGAGGAGCAGCAGATCTACTCTGAGCCCCTTCTTGATGACTAAGCTTCTCACCCTATCTCCAAGGGAAAGCCCAGCCACCCTGCGGAGAAGACAAATTTCGACTGCTTGTGTCCGTGATCTCATTATTTCGGTCACCACCCAAAGCTCGTGACCATAGGTAAGGGTTGGAGCGTAGATCGACCGATAAATCGAGAGCTTCGCCTTCTGGCTCAGCTCTCTCTTCCCAACAACAGATCGGTACAACGCCCGCATCACTGCAGACGCAGCACCAATCCACCTACTCCATTTTTCCCTCACTTGTGAACAAGACCCCAAGATACTTAAACTCCTCCCTTGGGACAGGACCTCATCCCTGACCTGGAGAAGGCATTCTACCCAAAATCACACATGCAAACAAAACATTTTAGGGCATAATCACGTCAGGTTTTTTTCTGACTACGTGTCTAATTTCAAAGAACTTAAGAGAATTCAGTGAAAATTGTAGCAAGATTCTATCTGACTGGTGATATTTTCAAATGTGGGAATCTGCAAAGTTATTCCAGATAATTGGTAGACACAACAGACCAGATTCAGTGTTTGTTTTTCTTTTTTTAATGAAAGGAGTCAGAAAAAACCTTGGCGGCATCTCAAAATGTAAATTTTTATGGTCTGTGATTTCAATTGTACCCAGTGACTGGACAGGCAATTGAAACGCTGTCTGAATATAAATATTCCCCAATTTTTAAAATACATTCAGGCTCTCTTCACATTTTGTGTCAAAGACTCACTTTAACAAACATCTTATTCCCCATGGGAGCTTTGGCTGACTTGGCTGGTGAGCAGTAGACCGACATGGATTTCCTGTCTCTGGAGAACTCCAGGGTAAACTCCTTCCTCATCAGCTGTTTGATCACCTGATAGAAAGTGAGAAGAGGGCATGTGGGAGGTAGCTGTGTGGGTCACTAACATAGCAAACATCAGTAAAAAAAACAACAACAAAGACTCTTCATGGAATTCACCAATTATTTTCTCTTTTTGCTGTCAAGTGACGAGCAGGTGCTATAAAACAATAATGGGCTCCATAAAGCTGCAATCCAGAATTGTCCCCTTTCAGGAATTATGTTAGCCTGGCAAGCCATCCTATTGTGACAGTGTGAGCATCCTGTCACAATGTCCCGATTGATCATGCGCCCTGGCTATTTGGCCAAGGGGATGTCCCTTTGGCTGACTGGTTAGAGCGTATGACTCTCACCCGGGAGTCTGGGGATCGAATCCCGCCCGGGCCCTCGTTTCTCCACCCTGCCACATTTGGCGTTGTTGGCAGGATCCATGTAGTACTGTCAAGTAGGTCCATGGATGTGAAGTTAGTGGCACCCTGCACGGGAGCACGAGGACGTGCTTGTGGAAAGAGGGGGGAAGATGTGACAGTGTGAGCGTCCTGTCACAATGTCCCGATTGATCATGCGCCCTGGCTACTTGGCCAAGGGGATGTCCCTTTGGCGTATGACTCTCACCCGGGAGTCTGGGGATCGAATCCCGCCCGGGCCCTCGTTTATCCACCTTGCCACACTATGTATGTAAAAATATTTTTTCTACAGTTGGTCTAGATTTCTAGGCCAGAATTTTATGATTGATTTTTTATAAATCTGTAAAAGTAAGCCTTACCCTGTACTGCCTCACCCCATAGAGCCCGAGCATTAGCCCATAGCGTTATGGTATGGTAAATGGGCCTGTTGTTGACATGGCGCCTTCTAGAGTTCTGGAACCCCCCAAGGCACTTTACAACACAATCAGTCATTCACCCATTCACACACACATTCACACACTGGTGGGGATGAGCTACGGTGTAGCCACAGCTGCCCTGGGGTGCACTGGCAGAGGCGAGGCTGCCGAGCACTGGCGCCACCGGTCCCTCCGACCACCACCAGCAGACAAAGTGGATTAAGTGTCTTGCCCAAGTACACAACGACAGCGACAGACTGAGCGGGGTTCGAAACCTTCTGATTACGGGGCAAGCACTTAACTCCTGTGCCACCGACACTCGCTTACATGCAGATGTCAATCACAGAGCGTGAGTGTGTTTACAGATGCTGAGTTGGCAAAATCTCTTATGGATAAATAAGTCTTAAAAAAAAGAAAAAATATATATAAATAAACAACAATGTGAGAATAATAATTGTATATCAATGTGTCGTGGCTCTGTTGCCCGAGTAGAAGCGCACGTTCATGAACGGGAGGCGTAATCACGGAAGTAGGAGAGGGGCTTAAGGTGCAATAAATTTTTCCACCTCTAGAGGGTGCCATTTGGGGAAAAAAAGTTCGAGATTTCTGCTTAATACCACTTCTGGTAATAATAATATTATTATCTATCAGAAAGTGACATTTATATTTGAAAAATAGAAAAATGGTGGTAAGGGTCATCAGTGATCCAGGTGTGGTAATCCTTCAAAAAGATGGAAATGTATTTATTTATTTTCAAATAATTCTTTTGTAGATTAACTAATTTCCTGCTTCATAAGATCTTTTTAGGACTTACAGAACAGCAAGTGTTTGCTCTTTCCACCTTCGACAGACCCCGCACTTCAGTGTTGAACACGTTCATCTTTTCCACCAAGCAGCACAGGGCTGTCTCTGTAGCCTCACCCACTTTCTCATATATACCTTTGGACTGCAGCGTGGAAAGAGAAAAAAAGAGGCACAGGTATTCATTTCACAGCAGTTGGCTGCATGTAAAGTGTCATCCATATATAAAAGCTGTGAAAGCTCTGCTGACCTCGTTGTAGTCCAGAGATGAGTCATTGCACAGAGCACAGATGGTTGCCAGCTCAACCAACCCATCATACTGCCCACACTTCACGTGTCCACCATTCCTTGTGCTGGTTTGAAAAGTTACAAAAATGTTTCTCAACTTGAACATTTGTAACAGGTCATAAACAAGCTTGTAATGGATTTTGATGTACCACTTACACTTCTCCTTCGGGGGTGTACTTTGAGCCTGAAATGTCAAACTGCGCAAGGGTCACACTGTCCCCTTCAACTTTATCAATGATGAACATCTGGAGACAAGCGAGTTTAAGCAAGTTTGCTCAAGTTTCTACTGACTTAGGTTTTGATGCAATATTTGTGGTCAAAACCAACCTTGGTGACACACATCTGGTTGGTGGTGAGTGTGCCAGTCTTGTCGGAGCAGATAACAGAGGTGCAGCCCAGAGTCTCCACAGAAGGAAGGCTTCTGACGATGGCGTTCTTCTTGGCCATGCGACGCGTTCCCAGAGCCAGACAGGTGGTGATCACAGCAGGCAGGCCTGACGGAAGCAGAACACAGCACGGGAAACTTTGCTGCCCTTTGGGTCGAACTAACTGAGCACGACAAGACAACAGGTGACATAAGTAATCTTGTTACACTAATCTTAAAATCTTCTAAGATTTTAGAAAATCATCATGACAGGTCATTAAAAATAGCTCTATTCGGAGAATATTAGTAGGAGAGTATCCTTACTAAAACTTTACCTAAAATCAACAAAAACAATGTACTCACGCAAACGAGTTTTCTGAACTATAAAACAGTACTCAGGTGTTTTTAGTCATATCCCATCTTCTACACACCCTCTTTTTGATGTAAATGGTCAAAAACTGTCGTGGTGAAGAGAGAGCTGAGTCAGAAGGGGAAGCTCTCGATTTACCGGTCGATCTACGTTCCTACCCTCACCTATAGTCACGAGCTTTGGGTAGTGACCAAAAGAACGAGATAGCGGATACAAGCAGCCAAAATTAGTTTTCTCCGCAGAGAGGCTGGGCTCTCCCTTAGAGACAGGGTGAGAAGCTCAGTCATCAGGAGGGGCTCGGAGTAGATTTGCTGCTCCTCCACATCGAGAGGAGCCAGTTGAGGTGGCTCGGGCATCTGGTCAGGATGCCTCCTGGACGCCTCCTGGTGAGGTTTTCCAGGCACGTCCAACCGGGAGGAAGCCTAAAGGTAGACCCAGGACACGTTGGAGGGACTATGTCTCTCACCTGGCCAGGAAACGCCTTGGGATACCTGCAGGAGAGCTAGCCCAAGTGGCTGGGGAGAGAGAAGTCTAGGCCTCTCGACTTAGGCTACTGCCCCCGTGACCCGACTCCGGATAAGCGGAAGAAAATGATGGATGGTCAAAACATAGCAATTTATGAATACTCTGCATTTAAATAAGTCGGCTGTTTAGTAATATTTCACTTCCATGGCAACTAAGACTGAAATCAAGGCGCTTGTGCGTAATGTAGGTATGGAAACGTGGGGCCGTTGAGTGATCATGGCAGACATAAGAAAAACATTTTAAAAAGTGGTCAGATGGAGGCAAAGTGGAAGATGGCAATAATCGTTGATGTCATCCAAAATGGCTGCATTATAGTGCTCAGAGATGACTGAGGTAGTCCACATCTAAGTGTAACAATACATGAGAATATTTAATGTAACCCAAGGCTCTTAAGACAGGAAATAACATATTTGTCATCATATAAAAACAAATATCAGCCCACCTGTTGGCCAACAGGCCAGCTGGAACAAGCAGGAAACCTGACAGTGCACCAGGTGCACTGGTGTCTGGTTCTCTGGGGTGTAGAACTTTTTAATTTATTGTTTGATTTACAACTGATTCACAGTTGCGTGTAAAGCAATCAATGCACAAATAAGTATAAGTAAGTCCATCCATCCTATTTTTTCAATACTAAGAAAGAATAAACGAAGTTCATTCCAAAGTATAAAAGTCATTTGAAGACGTACAAGTGAACTGTGTGTGTGTGTAAATGTGGCTTGAAGAGCAAGTCACCCCCAAATCAACTTTTTTTCTGATAAACTATATAAATGTGTGTCTAATCGTGCTGCTGACACGTGTAGTCAATAGTTTTGCACTTAAGTGCATTTTAGTTAAAATTTTAATTTTCTGCCCAAAACTGTCAGTGCTGTGCTGTCGTCAGGTAAAAAATCTGCACTGCTTTTGAATTTAAATCTGTCATCGCTGTTGGCTAAGAGGTACCCTAGAACGTTAGCTGGTACCATATGACGTCACAATGTCGTTGTGAGCCTGTGTGTGTGTGTGTGTGTGTGTGTGTGTATTTGTTAGCAGCTCCGCCCCCTTGGTCTGCCAGGCAACAGCATTTGTTGCATTTTTCAAACAGGAAGTGGGAGTGGAGTAATACTCTGGTAGGGGGTGACTTGCTCTTTAAATTCACAATGTTACCATCTGCTTAAGGTTGCTACACATTTTTCCAAAATCTCAAAGTTTGCGTGGAAAGCCACTGATGCAGTTTTCAGACCCCGTTTTGTGTGCAAACTTTATAAATGAGGACCCTGGTCAAAATAACCCTAACCCTAACCGACAAGATCCAAACACAATCAGAAAACTCTTTGTGCCCGTAAATTAATCTCTGGGGTTTACCTTCAGGGATGGCAGCCACTGCCAAAGCCACAGCAATTTTGAAATAGTAGATGGCCCCACGGATCCAGGAGCCCCCATGGACAGGGTCATTGAAGTGGCCAATGTTGATTATCCACACGGCCACACAAATGAGAGAGATGACCTGCAGGAGAACGTCACAGATATGGCTCCCAGTTTGGATTTATTTTGGATCATCTCCAGGTTCTGAAGTTTTGTTTTAGGATTAATGTTTTCATGACTGAAAACAACACAGTATTCTTCTTGTATTGCTGCTGTTTTAACATTCATGTCAGAACTCTGAAATGTCTGGTTTTGTCTGACTGGTCAGATTACTCGTGCCAAAGAAATGAAAAAACTAAAAACATAAAACCGGTACTCTCAGGATTTGTTCATTCTTTTCAAAATTTGGGGGGAATGTTGTTATTTTTCTACTGTGTTTGCACCCCTCATCCCAAAGAAAAAGCTGATTTTGACAGAAAAATAGAAATAGTTAGAAGCTCAGTTTTTGGGTTATTGACTCAAACCACAATAAAACATGCACCCCCTGGTGGCAGGTTGCAGTAAAATGGTATAGGTCCCACTCTCTCCACTAAACAAATGGGACATAGGAAATTAACTGGTGCAACAATGCAAATTACTGTGACCCATTGACCCAACAGCAGTCTTTCTGCAGCCTTATCTAAACGTAAAAACAATTTAAGAGAAAATATAAATTCATAAATGTCTGGCATTGTGCATTCAAGGCCTCAGCATTTTTTGTGTTCACCTCCACTTACTTTAGAAAGCTGTTCTCCAAACTCATCCAGTTTCTGTTGCAGAGGGGTCCTCTCCTGCTCGGTCGCTGCCATCTGGTCACGGATCTTCCCGATCTCAGTGGAGACTCCGGTTGCAACGGCAATGCCGATGGCTTTACCAGCGGCAATGTTGGTTCCCTGATCAGGAGATACCGAAGCGATATTCAGCGGTCAGGAAGCTGGTCAAACAACTATGAAACAAATCTGTTCTCAGGTGAATCATCTGCGATATGTTGATGTTTTTTCACTTGGGAAAACAGTGTTTATCTTATTAACATCTTCAAGGCAGCCGATTGCTGCCGGGATTCATAGGATGGTGATAAAACTCACAGAGAACAGCATGTTCTTCTTGTCCTGGTTGACGGCACGTGGGTCTGGAACTGCATCAGTGTGCTTGATCACGCTGACGGACTCCCCTACAGATGCAAAGACAGGCGAAGAATCAGGGGAGGGGACACACCAAAAACACACATATCTGTGATTAAACACACCTGTGAGAATGGACTGGTCCACACGAAGAGTGGTAGACTTGATAGAGATGATCCTGATGTCAGCCGGTACTTTGTCACCAACTATCACGCACAGACAAAAGGCACAAAAGGAAAGACTTTATTCTCCTAAACCATATGGACTGCTTTTGATTTGATCTATTTATTTTGCAGCTTTACAGATCATAACAATGCGACAGCAGCTTTACAGCTGAATGGAGGATGAAGGGCCACAGGGTTGATTGACTGGTTTTAGCACTCTGGCTGGATGGTGTTGTTGTAGAAAGCTGATCCCGCATTGAGAGCAGGAGAGAGGAGGGAGACCTTGGGGACATCATGAAATGAAAAGAACAGGTGGACGTGGAGAGACAGGACCGAGTCGATTAGTGCCTCCAAAGCCAGGCTCCATGTGTTTTTTTTTTTCACTCGTAGAAGGTGCACTCTCCACCCCTCTCCCCCTGTGATTGCCTTAAAAGGATGGTGCCAGTTCTCATGAACATAACCCACAGACTCACTTAGACTGACAGGAAAACACTTAAAAAAAGAAAAAAAAAATTTATTCATTTTTAACACCCAAGTTAATCAGCTAATAAAGGGGTTTAAAAATGTAAATACAGGTGTCAACCTTGTTAATGGGTCAGCTCTAAAGGCCTCCGCTGTTTGTTAGGGGCAATGAGTCATCAGTGGTGTGTTTGGATTCAGATATTTTCAACCGGGGTGACAAAATCATTTTCGTTGATGTTACAAATAACTTGTTTAAACCACGCCACCTTCCTCAAGAGATTTAATTTGAAAACGATCAGTATCATTCCCCGGTTCTCATTAGTTCTGGTCAAGAGGGATCCTCTTCCTGCCAAAAGTGAAGCCGATATAGAAGTGACAAAAATTGCGTCTACTAGGCTCTGGCTGTAAAACAGAGAAATTTCCCCATTGACTCCCTTGTACAAAAGCAGGGGATGCTCGATGTATTGGCATCGGTATCGGCTGGTGTCCAATAAGTAAACTGTTTGTGTATCTGTATGGGGGAGGGGGGGGGGGGGGGATTATGTGTAATGGTTTAGTCATGTTACAGTGATGGTAATCATGTCAGAAGTATAAACAAATGTGTTTACAATAATATATATATACATATATATGTTATCTTCTAATCCCTTCCACAACCTTATCGGAAGCCCAAGGTGCTGAATAATACAATAAGCAATAAGAAGCACATATAAAAACAGTATAAAAAGTATAAAAAGGCAACGCTATGGCGTCTGCTGTTGGAAAGCCATAACTTTGACACGCATCTTCAGACGGGACTTAAAAATCAGTAAAGAGGGTGACTGGTGCATGGTTAAAGGCAATTCATTCCACAGCCTCGGAGCCAACACTGAGAATGCAGGATCCCCTGTGACCTACACAGGGAACACGGAACCACCAACAATTTTCATTCATCTGAATGGAGAGCTCTTGATGGAGCATGCCTGTTCAAAAGTCTCTCCAGGTACAGAGGAGCAATTCCCTGAAGAACTTAAAACACCAAAGTTAACACTTTGAATTTCACCCTGAAGTGCACAGGGAACCAATGTAGAGTTTGCAGTACCGGAGGGCTGCATGGTGGCGCAGTGGTTAGCACTGTGCCTCGCAGCATGAAGGTCGCAGGTTCAAAACTCGGCTGCGGCCTTTCTGCGTGGAGTTGCGTGTTCTCCCCATGCATGCGTGGGTTTCCTCCGGGTACTCCGGTTTCCCCCACAGATCACAACATGCCCTATAGGTTATAAATTGTAAGCCGCTTTGGATAAAAGTGTCTGCCAAATAAATAAACATAAACATAATGTGCTCCCTGCGTGTTGTGCCCGTCAGGAACTCATATATATATATATATATATACATATATAATCCAGCAATATCGGTATCAGCCCAAAATTTCATATCGGTGCATCCATGGTATAAAGGCCAACTGCACAGCAGGAATTAACATGTTCACCGCCTGGTACAAAGTACACATTTTAGGTTAAATAGGTCAAGGGTGAATGTTTTGTTATTCATGTCTTTAGATGTAAATAAAGTTTAAATTGTGAATTATTAGGGGCGTGTCCTTTTGATTGCAGATCAGCGTTAGTGGCTTGCTCCAAGAAAGGCCTCAGCCTCTGCCCCACATTTAAAGGGTTACAGCCTCGAAGGCAGATGGTAACAGAGTCGCTCAACCGCTGTTTTCTGGCTAAAAGCACCCGTCTAACTCTGTTAGCTTTGGTTAGCCCAGTTAACTCGAAGCTACATCGGCACAGAGTGTGATGGGTGTCGATCATCGGCCACCACCCTCACACATTTTCTGAAATTTTTTCTGGTTTCACATTCAGCTTTTTATCATCTTCATAATTTCCACTTTGGTTGTCTTTTATAGATAATCTTTTCCTGTTTCTTTGTCTGTTAGCCTACCTTCCTCTCATGCTCCCCCTCCCCTTGTCTCACCTCGCCAGAGTTTTTGCATTTTGGATTTCTGAAGGATTTTTCTGTTTAACAAGCTTCTAGTTTTTCTGCTCGACTCCTACATGATCTTGTAGCTCTGAATACAGTTCTTTCATCTTCATCATCAGGACTGCTGATCTTATTGCTCTGCAGAATAGGATAGCAAATTCCTGATATTTTTCTGTAATATCATTTGAAATTAAAGTCCTTGGACTTACTGAAAATGTGCCTTGATGCTTATGATTGTGCATCAAAGCAGGTAAAATTTGTCCTAAATTTCTCATGCATTCAGATTTTGTGTCATACTATTGAGGCTAACTGGGACAAATTTCCAATTTCCAATTTCTGTTTGTAATGGATTAAACGGGTCTTTCTCACCAGAAACCTCCACCACATCCCCAGGAACAATCTCTCTGGCTTTGATCCTCTGCACGCTCTTCCTGTCCGCCCGGTAAACTTTTCCCATCTCAGGTTCGTACTCTTTCAGAGCCTCGATGGCGCTCTCTGCATTTCGCTCCTGTTGCAAAGATTGAAACAGACATGTTTTGGTCAAATTCAACATAAATATGCAATCTTAAAAAGTTATGCTTACATTTTAGAGAAAGATGATGAAAAACCAATACTAATGCTTGGATTGACCTAGTTTCATACAAAGTTGTTTGCATTGTTTAATTTTTTTTATTTCCCGTGATGCATTAATGCATTATTTTATTACAGTAGAGCAGTATTAGCATGAACTGTGTTGTTTTACAAACCTAGAATAAAACAAGATGAACTTTAAATCTAGGATACCATTTTCTATATCTTTTAGCTCTTTAAAATTTATTTTTTCAACCATATCACGCAACTTAAAAAACCTGGTTTTTATCATGTTGAGTTTTAATGTTACTTTTACATTTACCTGCTGTTTTCTGTATACTTTTTGGTCATTTTGTGTTGCAGTGTGTCTCTCTACTGCCTTTATAAACACTTCAAATGTGAAAAAAAAAGTTTTTTTCAGTTTTCAGTTTCTCAGTTTTAGGAATTATGGGCCTAAAACAAGCTGTTTCAAAAAGCCACTGTCTGTGACATCACAAACAGGTAAAATAGAATAGAACCACCTCTTGTGTGCAAAAGAGAGCTGCTGTTGGAGGAGCAGCGGCTCTACTCCGAACCCTTTCTGGATTTTGGAGCTTCTCAGCTACCTGAGTGGGGGAGGGGTGGGCGTGGAAAGTTCCAGCTTGTTTTCTTAAAGACCAGGTTCACAAATTTTTTCAACACATTTGCAGTGGCCTCAAGTATAAACAAATGCCTTATGAGTGGGATCTAAGTGGGGAAAAAGCTCTCGTGCTCCTGTTTCAGGAAGTAGAAGTGAGCCAAAAGAGAGGTGAGCTGAAGACTGCAGAAATTGTAGTCAGACATCTTGCCTCTGATTGGTTGAGGCAACACAACTTTTTTACTGACTCCGTTTTATTTGCAGCATTGATGTTTTATCTCTACAAATAACTCAAGCCTGAACGAGTTCTGCTGTGTGGTGGAATGGTTAGCTTCTACTAGCCGAAATATTCTCTGCTCTTTCCTGGATGCTAAATCAACAACAGTCTTCCTCGTTGTGAACCAAGACGGGTGAGTCCATGAATGCTTCTTTACAATGTGTTGTAGATCTATGTGACTTTTTCTTACCCGAACGTTTCCCCCGTCTACGTTCTATTGGCAGCGAATTAAATAAATAGGGGAAGAAGACTGCATGTGAAAATTCAGAGTGACCGATCGTATTTCCAAACTAACAAGAAAACAACAGTTTCTCAGTGAACTTGCTCTTTAAAGTGACAGAGCTCAGAAACGACTCATTCTGGAAGATACTGAAACTGATGAGAAAAAAATTGCTGAAATGTATGTGAGAGTGATTTTGTGCAAAGAACTTTATGAACATGTTTTTAATGACCATTGAACTATTATTTCTAGGCCTAGAAATTAATGGGGCCGTGATGTGGAGGCAGATGTCAAGCAGATTGGAATGACATGGGGACAGCTGGAGAGACTAGCGCAGAACCGAGATGCTTGGAAGGAGCTGATTGGTGGCCTATGCCCTCGTCAGAGCCGCAGGCATAGATAGACAGATAAAGATAGAACTATTATACCTTAAGAAAAAATAATTCACAGTATTTACCATTTAATGCCTTCTAGTTAATTTCTCACCTTTATCTGTGCCTTTAAATCAATTTTGTAATGCTACGTTGAGCTGGGTACAATATACACAACACATTGAACAGGTTTTTATTGTGAAGTGGTGCTACAAGTACTGTCAAGCACATTGGAGAGTTCACGGCAGTAAGAAGTGCCTCAGACTGAACCAGATGGGCAACAAAGTCCTTCACAATGAAGTTCAGGTCAGTCAGTGGTTTCTTCAAAGACACACACACACACACACACACACACACACACACACACACACACACACACACACACACACACACACACACACACACACACACACACACACACACACACACACACACACACACACACACACACACACACACACACACACACACACACACAAACATAACCTCTGGCAAAGTGTAAAGCCTGACTTATGCCAGCTGCCCTCCCTCTTTTCTCCATACGCTCCATGTGTGAATCCTTGTGCATATTTTCCAAATGACTGACTGGTGGATGTACACACACACACACACACACACACACACACACACACACACACACACACACACACACACACACACACACACACACACACACACACACACACACACACACACACACACACACACACACACACACACACACAGCAGGTCACTGTTAATAGCCCTGTACTTGTGCTGTGGGCTGTGAAGACAGGACATTTAAAACCTTTATCAAATCTTCCCTCCCTCCTTTGTTGAGTTAACCTTTGACCTTTTTCTCTCACGCTGACGTCATTCTCTTCATTCTGACTTTTTCTGAACTTGAAGGTCCTGGCTGCAGCTCTGGTAGGAGTGTGTGCTCGCCAAAAGGACACAAGGTTCAAACAGGTCACCAGTGTTAGTGATTTATTGTGCGTGACTGTTTCTGTGTCCGAGGGTCTATTTAGGAGTGTGTAAAACACAGCGTGCACGTGTCCTTGTTCCTCTTGGTGCATGTGTGTTTGAGTGCATGCTCACCAACCTGCCACACCCCGACGATGGCATTTGCAACAAGGATGAGGAGGATGACGAAGGGCTCGACGAAGGCAGTGACCGTTTCTTCACCTTCCTCAAACCAAGCCAGCACCTAAAACACACAGGCCGAACCAGATTTACAACATTTTCTTCTCAACTGATGAGTCTGAAAATTAAAATGGCAACAATGATGAGAAAAGTTAACTTGGGATAAAATTCAATTGTAGGGTTTTGGTTGAAAAAATCAGGACCTGAACATATATTTCGTATGTACTGAACTAGCGCTTATGTGAAGAGATTGTGAAGAAAACAATAACATTTGACATTTTGTAAAATACCTCAGTTTGGAGAAACATGGGTTAGCTCTGGCCAGAATCACAAGATAACAGCTACGTAGCTAACAACAAATGAGGATAAAACAGCTACAAAAATGCTAAATATCGGTGGTTTATGTGAACGCTGCTTTATTGCCTTCAGTTTTATATCTCATGGTTATTTCTACGTTTTATTTTTTTGGTTGTTATTAATCACTAATAGCACCTAGCTGTAACAGTGCAGTCTGGAGCACTTTTGATCGGAATACCTTTTTAATTTCAATAATGTGAAACTGATGGCATTCATACAATAACAGTTGCAGAACTGCAATTCTGAAAGAACGAAGTAAGAATGACATCCTATGGTCAAATATGGGTACTGCAGCCCATTTTAAAAACAGTCACTTTCTCACTTCCGTTCTGTGAGTTTCATGGCTGTTACCAGTTACGACTCAGCGCTAGAAGATTCTAGATGACGAGTCACACACAATAAGTAGCTAAGTAGATACATTTTTGTAATATCGAGATGCTGGTAATTGAAAGGTAGCTTTTTTAGAGCCTACAATTTTTTCTAATTCACCATTAGCATTGCTAGCACAATTTTAGCCTCTAGATTTCTTTACCTATTTTATAGTGAAACAAAAGATGCAGAGGCTTCTTAGGGGCACAAGAAATAACTTCTGGGCCACTCCTGTTTACTGGCTTAAGATATTTACAAATCACTGCTGCGTATTGCTGGCTGATGTTAGATTACAAATACTGCCGCTGCATTTGTACTTGGCTGAGTGTTAAGCCTAAAGCCTCCGTCTGCGTCGGGACGGATGCACGCAACGCCATTATTCGTCCTTTCAAAGGCTCTCCAGCAGGCTCGCAAGGACGGATGAAGTCGAGCTCTCTTTTCTAAACATCCGTCCAACAATCCGGAGAACACAAGCTTGTGATTGGTCAGGACTCGGCTGTCATCAACACCGCCCTCAAAAACATAAAGAGAGCTGAAGATGTCTAGCGGCAGGCACAGAGAAGGCAGCCCAAAGAATACCTTGCGGAATGACTAAAAATACAAACGTTTTCTTAACCCATGACTTGAGGAGTGAAAAAATATGCAGCAAGCCTTTTATTTGTGGCTGGAAATGACGGGAAATGTGGGGTGGAGCTAGCGAGCACATGAAGAGGTGGAGGAGAATGAAGGACATGTTTGTTCAAGTTAAAAAGTTTCTTAAATACAAAAAACACAGTATAAACGCAAAAGTAAACACACTATCTTGGACCGGATACATGACAGCGCTACCACAGAACAGCGCTATGCTCTCTGTTGTCCTGGTGGGGACATGCTTTGCAACTCTCCCAGGAGACGGAGAAGTCCAAAGGCAAAACTGTCCTTAAAGCCTAATTTATACTTCTCCGTCTGCGTTGGTGCGGAGGCACGCAACGCTATTATGCATCGGTGCTAGGACTCTCCAACAGGCTCACGGAGGATTACGGAGACATGCTCATATTTTTAAACATCTGTTAAAAGTGATGAAGACCGCAAGCTTGTGATTGGTCAGGATCCCGCTTCCTGGACCGAGGATTACATGAGTGAAATGGTGGTACGATACCACAGAAAGGTGCTACGCCCCCTGTTGTGTTGACGGGGAACTGCTTTGCAACACTCCCCCGGTGATGGAGAGGTTCGCGAGCAAAACATCAGTGCGTGTGTGTCTCTCCCTTGTGGAACTGACAGAAAAGTATAAATCAGGGTTTAGCTTGTGCAGACTACGCAACTCTGCGGGCTCACCGTCCAACAAGATTGAGACATTAGACTGTTTAGTAGTTGTTTCACTGTAAAATTCTCAGATATTGTACCATTAGACACACTATTAGACTTGGCCATGGGCTCTCGCTGACTAGCTGTTTCTTTTTCTCCTCATTAAAGTCAGCTATCTATGACAGGTAAGACATTAATCTTTCATAAACCTTTTGCAGAACCCAACTTCAGAAGAGCGCAACAATAGTCTTACATAAAAAACATAAAAACATAAATTAAAAACTTAGATGACACTCTCCCCTTGCAGAAAAACCTTATCCCTTGTTTATTTTTTTCATTTATTCGCCTGTTGCTCAGGGTGACCATATTGTGTCTTACTAGAGACCAACATTAAACACAAAGTTAAATGTATTATGACAAGCAGGTATTAATGACCCGTATGACCCACCAGTGGCTCAGATGGCTGTTATGAGCCTAATGTCATCGCGTGCGCTCCTCTCCAGAACTAGCTGGGCACGTGTGCGCCCGTGTGAGAGGCAGTCCCACCTCTCAGAGGCAGAGCTGTTTAGGAAAGGCTCTGTGTTGACATTGACACAGATTAGTCGCAGGCCAGTGGAGCACAGGATCCAGTCCAGTCCTCGAGCACTTTGGTTTTTCCCTCGGCATCGTAATCCTCCATGTTTTCCACTTGCCAGCTTTTCATCTCACGTCTTTTGTCACCCTTTTTTATAAATAGGGCCCAATTGGTCCCTCCCTTCTGTCTGTCTTCACGCTACTTCTCTTCAAAGACACGATCGATCTCCAGAATGAGCGTCAGGGGCTGTCAGCACGTCGCTGTGACAAAACATTCCCATGTTTATGAATAGGATGATGGTGTATCTGCCGCATTTACTGTTCTCTCTTTTAGAAACCACACACCACTCTGAATCAATTGCTCTCATTTGTCATTGTAAGAAACAATGCCATTGTGCAATCCAATCCTCAGTCCAACCCCTCGATGTGGCCTCCTCTCTGTCTTTTGTCTCCTCCATAGCTGCGAGCCATCCCCCGTTCCTGCCATCCTTGACCTTTGTCCAAGGATACAATTTCTCGTCCTGGCTTGAGACTTTCTTAAAATAAAGCTTGTGCTATGCACACACTGCTGCGCACTTTCTCTTTGTCTCTCTCTCTTTTAACACACAGCCGCCAGGCCTTCTAGGGCCACAGTGACAGGTGGACAGAAGTCCAGAGGGCAGAGATTGAGGATTAAGACAACATGAGTGACACACTCTCCCTGCTGAAACAGGTACAGGGACAGGAGCGACGCAGTCAGGGGTTCTATGTGTAAATGACAGTGAGTCCAAATGTAATTTAATATGCTCGTGATGAATGAGTGTGTGTTGGAGTCTGAGCTAACAGGTGAGCCTATCGCTGCGTTGAACTTAGAGGCAACAGATTTTAATGTTTGTTTCTGTGGGGATCCTAAAGCCCATCTACTTCCGCATCATGGGTCCCTGGAAGAACGAAAAAAAAAAACCTAAAGCAAATCAACGGGGCTAAAACCGCCATTTTCTAATTCTGCTTGTTTTGTGCCATGGATTTCACATATGATGTCAATGAATTTTAAAAACGCATTTTAATACCAATTTTCAAATGGGGTAAACGATATTTTAGGTTTTATGTGAAAATAAGTCCAGGACTACAAATGTGCATCACCAAAGTGACGTCATCGAACCAGACACGGAGAAAACGGAGGGAAAATGGCTGTGCGTTTAGCGAACTTCACATCCTTCTTTCAGGATGAAAAGAACCGCCATAAATCTGGTCATTTGGTAAGTAGCAGCTATGCTAGGGGAGAGGAGATAATGTGGTGATATTATGCAAAAAGTCTTGTCTCATATTTACCAAAAACATCTGAATCATCTCCAGGCTTAGTGGGAAAATATTCTGTGGTCTGATGAGACAAAAGCAGAAACTACAAGAAAGGGATGTGTCCAATATGTGGTGTGAAACTAACACTAAAATAATCAGTCAAGCATGGTGGTGGTAGTGTAGTGGTCTGGGGTGGCTTTGAACCACTTGCTGTAACTGATGGAACCATGAAATCTGCTTTCTATCAGAAAATCCTGAAGTAAAACATCTGACCTTTGAACTCAAAACAAGCTGCTGGAAAACTTTTTGATGAATCTGAATCAGAGCAAATCTGATACAAATCAAGGAACAAAACTCCTCATCAGTAATCATAAATGCTTGATTGAAGATGTTGCTTTCAAGAATGTAAAGAACAGTTATTAAGTGTAGAGGTAGAATACTTTATCACACAAGGTCTGGTTGGTTTGGATAGATGCATCCCTAAAATAAATGGAATCATCATTTGAAAACTGCATTTTGAACTCAAACTATCTTTGAATCTTGTTTGATGATCTGAACTGGTTTTCTTTTTGCAAAAGGAAATTCAAATGATTAAAATCCTTTGCAATTTGGGTGAATGCTCTATTGATACGTTTCCCTTTGATGCTTCAGAGTGTGAAGGCATCCTGAGGATCCAAACTCAAACATCTACCAGGTCAGGATGATGTGAGGGAAACAAGAACCTGCATTTTAGTGACAAAGTCAAAGAGCTTAGATTTATTCATTTTCAAGAGTTTTACACCAAATCATAAAGAGTCAGCTATATAATTGCTGTTTTTAGTGATATTATGAGAATAAAAAGTGCTACTAGTTCTTATCTTGGCTTCTTTGCTGAGTGAAAACAAACAAAACAACAACAAATGTTCCGATCACGTTTTTTTTTGCTCCGGATCCTATTCCGAGTCATTTAATTTTGAGTATCTGCCGATATCGAGTCCCGATCCGATACTTTTCAGAAAAGCATTAAAATAACAATAAAAAAAAATCTATTTTAACAAAGCATTAAAATTAAAAGAGGAAGAAAACTCAGTAAAGTATTATAATAATAAGAAAAAGTCCAAATTGTCCTTTAAGTTTCACTTTCATTTTTTTAGGAAGTCCGCCGGTTAAAAAACTTGTTTATATTGTGAACATACTAAAAAGTAGCAGCATTGCTCTTATTTCAACTTGTTTACTCCCTCAATATGCCACTGCTAACAGCGGCGATTTGAGTGAGTCCTTGCCTGCCATAAACTGTGTGCCGTTACTGTGTTGTTTTTGTACCAGAAACAAACCTTATTGATGTAGAGGGACTTATTAAAATTGAAACTAAGCCATTTTAATTCAATTTTTTTAATTCAATTAATATCGGCCAAAATCGGCATTAAAATGTAATATCAGAAAATACCGGTGTCGGTACAAGATCTGCTTGGGTGCAAAATCGGCTCAGGGTCCGTCGACTGCCGATGACGTCTAAGTAGTTGATTGGCTGAACATGAACCTTACGGAATTACGTAATCACGTCACGTTGTTATCACGTTACACTGGTCCAGGCCTTTCTGTTGCAAAGATGAACAACTTTTACAAAGAAATCCATCATTACCTCTTTGAAAATACACTTTTAGCATAGAGCTGCATGTATATTAGGGCTGAACGATTAACTGCATGTGCAATTAAATTGCGATGTGACAAAAGGAGATTTTCTAATCGCAAAGGCTGCAATTTGGCAGCGAGTGGTTAGCGCAATGCTAATATACATGGAAAAACCCATAGGAATGCTAATGCTAATATCACCGATTACATTATTACAAATTATGAATTAGAAACGTGCCAAATGATTACATTTGGAGTCTAATAGAAAGTAAAACTACCATCAATCAAATAAGTACAGACAGGTACTTTAGTAAAGCCAGAAAACTTTTAACTCCAGAGTTTTGGCTAGCAGCTATGAGCGTACCTGAACTACGCTTGGACAAGACGTCAAAAACTCTAAACACAAAATACTTCAATAAACGGGACACACTTCTTTCCTGCAAATACAATTTCACAGGTGTTGCTAATACCTATGATCCTTCAAGGGATGTGCTCAAAGAGGAGTTCAACATTGTGAATCAAATATAGTGTTTTATTTTACAAATACCATTATAAACACAAAACTTACGTCTTAAGAAACATTATTTTAATAACGAAACTGCTAATTTCTTTCCAACAGTATAGATGTGTAGTGTATTTTGTCCGAGTGGGTTTGCCGTACTTTGACGTCATCGGCAGTCGAAGGACCCCGAGCCGATCTTGCACCCGAGCAGATCTTGTACCGACACCGGAATTGGTTTTCAGTTATTTTATGACCCAACTTTTACATACCATACACATGTTATACATCAAACTCTTCAGCTACTTCTCCTCTCTGTCAAAATGTCACAACATGACAGATTTGAGATAAACTTTATGAGATTTTTCAGTTTATGTGGCACACAGCATGTAGCTATGTGTAGCTAGGTAGCTAATGACTAAAACAAAAACAAGAATCTTTACCCAAGGTTTGCTTTTCTTATCTTAAGATGTTAAAAAAAGTTTTATCACTGTTATATACAGGAAAAGAAAAAAAATATTTTACTCACTAATAAACACATCTTGCCATTATACTTATGGAGAAGGAGATTCAGCAGTTGGAGACATAATAAATATGGCACTTTTCCTGTTACTGACTTGAATTGAAATAGTTGTAATTTTGCAAGGAAAATGTTTAAAATTAAAACATGAATGATGGGAGAAATGTGATGTTATCGACCTAAGACCTATGAAAGGAGTACACAATATATATTGTATTGGAAATTAATAGTCAGGGAATATCCTGATATATTAGATATCAGTAAAAAAAACACTATCGAGCATTCCTTAATATGAAGTAAAAGGAAGGTTGTTTTTGTCATTTACTTTGTGCATTCTTTGTTTTAGTTTGAACTAGTTTAATTTGTTGGGTTTTTTTTTGTTGCTTTTATCTCATCAGTCTGCCCCGCTCAGGGATGCTGATGCTCTGTGTGATGAGTACAAACACTTACAAAGGAGATGCATGCAGCCAGAAGAAGGATTCTGACCAACAGGTCCTCAAACTGCTCCACCACCAACTCCCAGATACTCTTTCCTGATAATAAACACGAAAACAAAACAAATTTAAATCCAGATGAGTTTAAAAATGTCAGCACACCAATGTGTAATATTAAAGGAGAGTGACTTAAAAAGGAAATGTGTATAAAAGATAATGACCAACTAAAATGACCTCATCAGTCTTTAGAGTTTGTAAACAGCACAGATCCATGAATGAAATGGGATGTCAGGTGATCCTGATGCGTGTGGGTCACAGTGATTGGTGTTAAACAAATGACCATTTTACTTGTCATCACAGGAAGTGAGAGGAGCAGGTGTGTGAGATGAACGCTGATCGACAGGACATGAGAGTCAGATCTCTAGAGCAGGTGTGTGTTTGTGTGTGTGTGTGTACTCACCCTCCTCTGCTGGCAGCTCTGTTGGTGGAGACAGACAGAGACAGTTATACACGTAATGCCTTTTAGATTTAATGTGCTTTAATGCAAGTGTAACACAATTAAAACATCCTTCCTAGGAAGTGAATCATACCAAAAGGGAACCAGACCATCTTTAGTCTGCAGCGGATGATGTCTGATCATGTTTGTTTGGAGTTCAGGTAAAAACTTTCTAAGTTCAGGAACTTTCTCTTCACTGTTCTCTTCACCTCACAACAAATTAAGATTTAGTTTGATATTAAACTGATTTCACTCTCGTCTAAAACCAGTAACAGCTGTCAGAAACCTGACACTACGATGCACATGCTCCACACACATAACTGCCTTCCTTTGTCTCACACACTCACACACACACACACACACACACACACACACACACACACACACACACACACACACACACACACACACACACACACACACACACACACACACACACACACACACACACACGCACACGCACGCCTGCATGCGTGAATGCACATAGGCACACATGCACAAACACTAGGACTCACATTTCATTCATCCGTCAACTTCTCTATCTTCCTCTTCTGTTTATCCCTTTGTGTTTCTATATTCTCGATCCATCCATCCATCCATCCATCCATCCATCCATCCATCCATCCATCCATCCATCCGTCCATCCATCCATCCATCCATCCATCCATCCATCTCCCTCACCATTGTAGCCATATGTTTCCAGGCTCTTCTTCACCTGCTCAGGTGACAGGCCGCTGTCTTCAGTGACCCCAAAGTATGCCAGAACTTCATTGGACTCCTTGATGTGTGCGTTCTCCATCCTCGTAGAAACGGAGAGGCTTTGGAAGAAAATGAAAAGGTAAAAAAAATAAAAAAATAAAAACACAGAAACATTAATTTTAGTGGCTCAGTTTGAGTGAACCTGAGACCAGTCAAGTCAGACGAATGAAAGAGAAACGTCTGTTTTCACCCACCACTTTCTTCAGTGTGGGATTAAAAAGTGGCGACCCCCCTCCCACTCTTGTGCTCTCTCTGGGCTGATGATCTCCTCTCGGAGCCCTGGACTGACAGAAAGTGCAACCCGGTGAAGTTTCCCGAAAAGTTTTATACAGATGAAAACTTGGCCTCATTGGTGCCTGTCCCACTTCCCTCATTTCTTATTGGATGGGGACATCGCGGATAGGTGGGCAGGGATTGCCCCGCAGGAAAGAATAGGCAGAGAGGAAGCTCCGTGGGGTGGGAGAGGGCAACAACTGCAGAGGGGGTCCCTCCACCCGGGCAAGCTGGAAATAAGATGTGATGAAGAGGGTGTGCCCGGTCAGGACAAAGGAAAAAGGCTTTCTAAATGGGAGACAGGGCACACATGTGGGCTCACGTGTCTTTGGACAAACACTCAGATGTTCTATGAATGGATGAATGAAATAAGATTTTTTCACAGAATGTACAGTACAACTGATGATATCACACACTAAGCTTGGAGATTATAAACTTGTTTCAATCTGTAGCAAACAAGCTCTTCTAATTCCTCCCTTTTATTTTAAATCCAAACTCCACATCAGAAACTTCTGTTGTGTCTCTCACTGTTGAAGGACTGATGGTTGTCTCTTTAATCCCCTCAGAACGCAGAGTTCACACCCAAGCTCACATAAAAATTCACATGTCTGACCACCCAAACCTTCTGCCACACATAGATCAAGAATTCGTTCAAAATGTCTAGTCTTCACACAGCAACTGTTTGTCTGAGGCTTAATTTTTGGTCTCTGGAGAGAGAGAGAGAAAGAAAGAGAGGCACATGTGTGGTAACCATGGTGATAGTGATGGACCACTTATAACAGCTCTAACATTTCTTTTCATGTTTTACATCAGGCACGTCAGTCAGATTTTTACCAATTTGTCTACTTTAGGCAGTTTTTGAGCAGAACACATTAAAATACCCAAATTTAGAATTTTTTTAAGTTAAAGTAAAAAAAATTGTTGGCCTTTAAGACTTCTAACTTAGTAACTTTGACCATTTTCTTTATAAGTTTGGACACCACTGCCTCTATAGATGATAAACGATGGCTGAAATAGTTGGCGCCCTTCAGTGGGGTCATAGGAGGATGATATCAGAGGTCAAATACCAGGTCAAGACTGGACACATGGTTGTTCAACTACGTTGACAAGGGCTCTCCCTGGAAATATTTATAAACTAACAGAGGTTTTAAAATGAGATATTTATCCTGGGACTTCTTTTGATGATATACATCTTTGCCTCCCCTCCCCGTGCCACACCTGGTGTGGAGTGTGGTGCCTTGGCCTGCCTGAGTGTTCATTTAAGATTTTTGGCATCTGCCTGATCAATCCCGGTGGCTGCCTGGTGGGATCTGGGTCCCTGGGCTGGGCTCTGTTGGGTCCCCGGCGGGGCTGGTCGCCTCTGGTCCCCGGGTTGCTGGGTTCCGGGCTCGGCCGGCTTGGGGGTGGGAGGCTGCGGGCGGGCCTGCGGGCTTGCAGCTGATATCTCCCTGGACTCTGTCAGCTGCTGGCTGTGGCCACCCGGGGCGATCCTCTGCGCCTCTCGAGGGGGGCAGGGGCTTTTCTGGTTGCAGTCTCTCTGAGGTCCCTGTGCTCTGGGGCAGCTCCTGGATCTCTGGGACTTGGAGCTCCTTCCATCTCCTACACATCTTTGGGGGGCAGATCCGTGGCCCCTCACACTCTCTATTGGACGCTCCTATAGAGAAACCTAACATATACAAGCGCATGTGCACACACAGGTGCTCGCATGGTGCTCTCGTAAGTATGGACTTGGGCATTTTCAACACATGTCTTAAGGCTGTGGTTGGCACTAAACGCACTGTGATTTATTATTGTGTGATTGTTCAGTAAAAAAAATGTTGATTTTATATTTCTTCATCAGGTTGACGCAGTGATAGCTTGCTCCTGTTGTACTGTTGAATGTTGTTTTTCTGCAGGTCTAGCAGCAGACCCCTGTTCATCATTAATTGTTTATTTTTGTGGTACCCCCCCACCCCCCCCCCTTGTCTCTTCTTTTCTCTTTCACCTCTGTCTCCATGTCTGGTGGGAATTACAAAGCATTCAAAAACAATAACAATAAAGTTTTAAGTATCAGGTGTGACATTAAAAGCAGAAGCTTTGATGCTCCACCTGAGAGTAAATCTGTAAGGCTTGTCACCAGCATTCAGACATCAATTCTGTTTGCTTCACAGCCAGACAGGACACGGGAAAAAAAAGAAAGAAAGAAATTTGAAGAAAAACAGAAGCTGGTCACACTGAGGGTTTATAGCAGCGATACTCAATTGGTGGCCCACGGGCCACGTCCGGCCCGCGAGCCCTCTCTTTGTGCAACAGGCGACTCTAAAAAGTTATATGATAAGAGATATATGATTGAGATCGATAAATGCAATTTGAAATGGATACTATGCAACTTTTCATAATTAAAAAAAAATTCTGGAGCCAATATGTGCTAAAATGACCCTTTACAGGGTTAATGAAATGTCATTCAGACCCCACGGTTGCACTTGCAACTTCAGAGTTGCTGTTCCAGTCCCTGCTGGTGGGGGGAAATGTGGTGTGGAGCTGACAAGGTGGAGTTGGAGTCTGCTTTCAGCACGTTTCCTGCATGTTTTAGATTTTGAACACAGCTGATTTGTTTGTTTTTGTGATGAACCTCTTCTGTAGAAGCTAATGAAGGCTGAGGAGACATTTCAGCAGTTAGATTACAGTGTTAAAAAGGAGGAGATAAGTTTCATTTTTTGGTATAACCATAATGTACTAATAACGGACACCAGGGACGCATGAAAATAAGCACTCTGGAACTCTCTCCCCCTGAGCCTGAGATCAGTGGACTCAGTGGTCTCCTTTAAAAAGCAGCTGAAGACTGACTTGTTCAGGCTGGCTTTTACGTGACCTTTGTCATCACCCTCTCCTTGTTCTGCTCTTTCTACCCATTCCGCCTTTCTTGGGATGAATTGATTTCCTAACCCTATTCATTTTCTCTCTCCCTTTTCTTATGTTTTTTAATCACAATTTTCAAATTTTTTGTCATTTGAAACACATTTTTTAATCATTTTTTAAAATCTTTTAATTTTTTTTGGTTTTTCTGAAGCGCCTCATGATTTTTATCTTGAGAGGCTTTACATAAAAGATACGTAGTTTTCTTTCTTTAATTCTTTCTTTTAAGTAAAATGTCTCTATTATTTTGACATTCATAATTTGGGTTATATTATATTATATTATATTATATTATATTATATTATATTATATTATATTATATTATATTATATTATATTATTATATTATATTATATTATATTATATTATATTATATTATATTATATTATAAGGGTCAATTTCTGGATGGGTTCTGCCACCATTGCAGTCATGTCTCTAGTCCATAATAGTGTAAGTACTATTGTGTATGTGTATTTATATTGTGTTCATGTATTTTAGAGATTTTTTAACAGACTAATCTGCCCCTTATTCTCCTCTACATCTTTATGCAATCTGCTATTGTTTCCCATAATTTCCTTCCGCGAATTAAAAGTCTGTGCTCTTTCAGTCAATGTAGTACAAATGTTCACATCGTTGGACCCCTTTCATGAGACGATCTTCAATCTGCTCTACGTCGGCTGCTAGAGTACCTCAGCACTTGTTTTTTTGTTTCTTTTTTGAATGGCAGTGCTGTTGACAAGTGTAAAGGAAGTGGCACACTGACCAATCACAGGCTTGCAAAGTTTTTGACAGTTAACAATGAGGCATGTCTCCGTCACCCTCTGTGGGCCTGCCGCAGAGCCCTTGCATCGACCGATCATGGCCTGTATTTGATATAGCGTCTTCTAGAGTCATGGAACCCCTCAAGGTGCTTTACAACACAATCAGTCATTCATCCATTCACACACACATTTACACACTGATGGTGATGAGCTACGATGTAGCCACAGCTGCCCTGGGGCGCACTGACAGAGGCGAGGCTGCCGAGCACTGGAACCACCGGTCCCTCCGACCATCACCAGCGACAGACTGAGCGGGGCTCAAACCTGCAACCTTCCGATTACGGGGCGAGCACTTAACTCCTGTGCCACGGTCGTAGCGCCGCAGATAGAGATGCATTAACCAGGCTTTTATGAAGGATTTTGTGATTGAATCAGTTTGTCATAAGTATTTTCTGTTATCGCTGTCACTCACTGTAATGCTTTAAACACCTGTAACATAATTGTTTTAGACGTCAGAGCAGCTCCACTTGCTGTTTCCTGTCTGAATCTGTTATCCTGTTGTCTGCACAACTCAAGGTGGCTCACTGACATTTAGCTCAATCTCCCTCAGGGATCAGGTTGCTGTGGCCCATTCCAAGCTTTGTGCTCTAATGCTAATAAAGCACAGCCGGAATAATACCATGCAACCCTTCCGGAAACACAAGCACACATGCACCAACTAAAGCCTCTGAGATGCCAGCTCCTGAAACACAGTTTTAACAAATTATACAAATGACTCATTTATTTAAGTAGGCAGGTTTTTCATAATGTGGCTGCTTATCTGGCTGATGAATACTGATCATTTAAATAGCAAATTGATGACTTAAAGGATCATTCACTGTCCTGGTTTATGGTTCAGTTCCTGAGGTATTATAAACATGGAGGAGGACCCGTTTGTCCAGAAGGAGGATGTCCTCTACGGTTGGCACCTCACTTGTCTGTGGTCTATTTAACTCATTCACTGCCATTGACGACTAAAGTCATCATTTTAGATCCAACCGTTCAGTGCCAACAACGACTGAAGTCGTCATTTGCATTTTTTTTACTGTTTGGGCATCGGAACGAGCCCCCGCGTTGAGAGAACAAACATCTCAGCCCTGAAACCGATCTTCATCTGCATACGTCACACCTCACATGATCAGGAAGCAGAAAATCCATGTGTTAGGAGATCGTTTTGGGCCGTTCCTGTGAAAAAAAGTGAGGCGCGAATTGGAAAAGCGTCTGTCGATCACAATTCAACAACGGATTATGAAAGAACGGATAACGCTTGAAACGCGCGGATTCTTCCTGATGTGAGAGGTGAGTCTCCGCTTTGTTTTGGTGTCGACATCATCATAGAGCGCAACGTTATGTCACTCTTAAAAAAACAGTAAAAATGGCGAGAAACGCTGGCAGCGAAGGGCTTTAGCGATCAGGAAACGACTGGCAGTGAATTCAAATTCAAAGATACTTTATAATCCCAG